TATAAAGAAAATTTTAAGATATTAACAAAGGACACAAAACAGAAAAAGTATACTGGTGGAAGACTCATATCTTAAAGATACCAATTGTCGATGAGCTGTTCATTAAATTTAATATAATGTGATTTCAGTACAAATTACATTAAGAGTTTTTGGGGAAGAAAACAAGCTAGTTCTTACCTTTATATGATAAAATAAAAAAGCAAGAAGAGCTAGGAAAACCTAAGGGCCTGAAATGACCAGATGTTAAAACATATTATGAAACTGTAAGAATTACAGGGCCATCTGGGTGGCTCAGTAGGTTAAGCATCTCACTCTTGATCTTGGCTCAGTTCATAATCTCAGGGCCATGAGATGGAGTCCTGTGTTGGACTCTGTGCTAAGTGTGGAGCCTGCTTAAGATTCTCTCTCTCCCTTTCCCCCTGCCCCTCCCCAACTCTCTCCTCAAAAAAAAAAACAACAACAACAACAACAACAACAAAAACCCCTTTAAAAATTACAAAGGACTTTTACAATAAGATAGGTCAATAGAACAGAACAGTTTAATCAGTGTCTTAGTTTCTGTTGCTGCTGTAACAAATTACCACAAATATATGGCTTAAAAAAAATGTATCATCTTACAATTCTGGAGATCAGAATTCTTAATGGGTTTCACAGGGCTAAAAGCAAGGTGTTGACAGAATTGTGCCCCTTCTGGAGGTCCTAGGAGAAAATCTGTTCCTTTCCTTTTCCAGTCTCTAGAGGTAGCCAAATTCTTTGGCTCAAGGTCCCTTCCTCCCTCATCAAAGTCAACACTCTGATCTGTTTCCATTATCACATCTCCTTCTCTGACTCTGACATCCTGCCTTCCTCTTATAAAAAACCTTGTGATTACATTGGGCCTACCCAGCTAATCCAAGATAGTCTCCCCATGCCAAGATCCTTCAAAAGCTCTGCAGAGTTCCTACCGCCATGTAAAGTGACATTCACAGGTTTTGGGATGTGGACATCTGGGTGGGGGGGGAGCGGGGGTGGTGTCTACTACTTTGCCTACTGCACTCAGATATGAATAGGTAGAGAAATCTAGTACTTGATAAAAAAAGCATTCCAAATCAGTGGGGATAATAGCCTATTTATTAAATGGTGCTGGGATAGCCACATAGTCATCTAGAAAAATAAAATAATTTGGATCCTTAACCTTTGTTAGGATAAATTCCCAATCGATTCAAAGACATAAATGTAAAGTATTAAACCATAAAAGTTCTAAGAGAAATCATCGATTTTACAGTAGGGAGAATCTAAATATAACATAATCTCAGAAGTCATAAAAGAAAATATTGATACATTTGACTACATATCTTTAAAACTCTAAATGGCAAAACCTATAATAAATAAAGTCAAATAAAACCATAAGTTAGGAGGAAATTTGGCAAACAACTATCACAGTTTCATTTTTTAAAATCTAAATTCAATTAACATGTAACATATTATTGGTTTTAGAGGTAGAGGTTAGTGATTCATCAGTCTAATACCCATTGCTCATTACATCGTGTCCTTTTTTTTTTTAAGATTTTATTTATTTATTTGACAGACAGAGATCACAAGTAGGCAGAGAAGCAGGCAGAGAGAGAGGGAAGCAGGCTCCCTGCTGAGCAGAAGGCCCGATGCAGGGCTTGATCCCAGGACCCTGAGATCATGACCTGAGCTGAAGGCAGAGGCTTTAATCCACTGACCAACCCAGGCACCCCTCATGGACATTACATCACCCAGTTACCCTATCCCACCATCCCCCTCCTCCCTAGAAACCTTCCAGTTTGTTTCCTATGATTAAGAGTCTCTTACAGTTTGTCTCACTCTCTGATTTCTTCTTGTTTTAACTTTTTCTCTCTTCCCTTATGATCCTGTTTTGTTTCTTAAATTCCACAAATGAGATCATATAACTATCTTTCTCTGATTATTTCGCTTAGCATAATACCCTCTAGTTCCATTCACGTCATTGCAAACGGTAAGGTTTCTTTTTTTTTTGATGGTTGAGTAGTATTCCTTTGTGTATATATACCACTTTTTAAAAATTTTATTTTTTGTAAGATTTTATTTATTTGACAGTGAGAGAGATAACGAGAGAGCACGTGAGCGCGCGTGCATAAGCAGCAGGAGCAGTAGGCAGGAGAGGGAGAAGCAGGCTCCCCACTGAGCAAGGAGCCCAACTTAGGGCTTGATCCCAGGACTCTGGGATCATGACCTGAGCCAAAGGCAGTTGCTTAACTGAGTCACCCAGGTATCCCAACCATGCACTTTAAAGATTGTATTTGTCAGAGAGAGAGAGAGAGCAAGTGAGCACAAGCAGGGGAGCAGAAGGCAGAGGGACAAGCAGGCTTCCCACTGAGCGAGGAGCCTGATGTGGGACTCAATCCCACGGCATGTGATCATGCCCTGAGCCAAAGGCAGATGCCCAACTGACTGAGCCACCCAGGCATTCCCCAAGCTGTGTATTGCGTACTTTAATAGGTGAATTATATGATGTCAATTATATTTCAGTGAAGTTTTTTTTTTTTTTTTTAAGATTTTATTTATTTATTTGACAGAGAGAGCGAGCGAGCAAGCGAGTGCACAAGCAGGGGGAGTGGCAGCAGAGGGTGAGGGAGGAGCAGGCTCCCCATGGAGCAAGGAGTCCAAAATGGGGCTCGACCCTAAGACCCTGAGATCATGAAGGCAGATGCCCAATAGATGAGTCACCTAGGTGCCCCTTGGTGAAGTGTTTTAAAAAAAATAAAGAAAAAAAAACAACTGAGACTGGGTGGCTCAGTTGGTTAAGCAGCTCAGGTCATGATTCCAGGGTCCTGGAATTGAGCCCCACATTGGGCTCCCTGCTCAGCAGAGAGCCTGCTTCTCTCTCTCCCTCTGCTGCCACTCTGCTTACTTGTGCTCTCTCCCTATCTCTCTGTCAAATAAATGAATAAAATCTTAAAAAAAAAAAAAAAGGAAAAGGAAGAAAAGGATAAAAACCACAACACAGAATACTGGTCCCCACCCTTAGTGTTTCTGATTCAGCAGGTTTGGGGTGAAGCGGACACTACTAGTTTAGGGACTAGGTTTTGAGAACCACTCCATTAGCTCATAGAAATGATAGTTTCAGGGAAATGAACCATGAGAGACTATGGACTCTGAAAAATAATCTGAGGGTTTTGAAGGGTGGGGGGTGGGAGGTTGGATGAGCCTCGTAGTGGGTATTATGGAGGGCATGTATTATATGGAGCGCAGTGTGGTGCATAAACAATGAATTCTGATACACTAAAAAGAAATTTAAAAAATTAAAAAAAAAAAAAAGAAATGATAGTTTCCTGAGGAACTTCAAGTAGTTTTCTTTTACTGTCTTTCAGAGACATAGACATAGGGATAACTGTGGTTTGTATCGGTTCTTATACTCAGGTCCTGACATATTTTAATCTTATCTCAGTTTTCAAATAAGTGGGTGTTTCTAGAAGGAGCTTTCTTTGGTATATCTTCAAATGTTTATTGAATACATGGTAAAAAACAAAGAACAAAAAACCTCTTCATTTCATAAAGAGACACTGCTTAAAAAGATTTCCTATAATAAACTTATTTTAATAGTGCAAAAACCAACCTGCTTCTAAACAGTGAAGGAACAACTTCCAAAAAATTTTATAAAAATAGCCAATCCTTTGAACAAATACAAATGCAAATAATTAAGTAAATATTACAATTATGTGGCAAACTCAGGAAGCAGAGACCATAATTACAAGCCAAATCATTCCTGGAGTTGGTCCATACCAGGTTACCAAAATGCATAAAACAAAACTTCTACTTTTCAGGTTTACAGAAAAGAAATGAAACAACTCCATTAAGAAAACTAATTTAAATTTCATGGAAAACAGACGATATTGGTGACTTTAAAAGTTTTTCAAGAAGTTCATGGAAATGAAGAACATCTACATCTTGATTTTTATGGAAAATAAATTTTATGTTGACTTTTGAAGCTTAAAAGACCATGTGATCTTCTTGACCAAAGGCTCAGAAGTAAAAGCCAATTCAAGAGCGAAGATAATATTCATGGGACCTATAGGACTTTAACCTAATCCTAAAATATAAAGCAAAATGTTAAGATGAATTAGTTTAAAAATGCAAATATACTTTAGAATTAGATATTAAAGAAACAAAATTTATCATGATTAGGATTTGAATAAAGTTTGGGTTAAAGTTTTCTCATATTTATCTATCTGAAAGATAATACTGATCATTCAGTATCAATGAATATGCTTATATTTGTGTATGGCTTGAGAAACAAATACATTAAATTCATTACTACTGCCAGAAATTGACAAAACTGGTAGCTTCAAATGTGATATTGTTTGAAGTACCATTATTTAATAGAAAGAGACTGAGAATCTTGGTGTAAAGCATCCTTCAGAAAGATGGAAACTGCCCAGACAGAAGAGTATCTCTCTATACAGCTCTACATATTTCTATATATATCTCCTTGCTACATTAAAAAAAAAAATTTTTTTACATATATATACTAAGCCACAATGAATTAACTTTCTCTACAAAACTATACATAAGAAAACATTAATAGACATTCTATAATAAAAGAAGGCAACGTCCTCAAGAAAAGATGGCAACCATTTGAATAGCTGAGGGCTATTGCTTTTTCTTAACATTTCTGGAATGGAGAAAAAAAGGATGAATAGTTTGTAGACAGATATATCTCTATTCCAGAAATATCTGGTAGACAGAAGCCAGGCAACTTAAAAATCATAGTTCTGTATATGAGGAAATGGTTAATGTTTTTGTTACTGGTGACAGCTCTTCTTATACTTAAGTTACTTCTCAGGGCTTGTTCTATAGCAGAGAGCACAACTTTAATTAGAAGAAATTTTCCCTAAGTGTTCTACTATTTAAACCTCTTGTAAAAAGATTGGCAGTTTGATAATATGCTGTTTGAGGCAATCCATCATTCCTGACTGCAGAGATTTAAAAACTAAGCATACAAATTAACTATAATGTCATGAGAAGGAATTTTACTAGGCTTCTTTCTAGGACCTAAAGACAAAAATTAAACAGAGATAGATAAGCTGACATAATATCATTATGAAGTGCACTGTGCTTGGCTCTTGTAGCTATAGTCCATGCGTCTAGTGGTAGAAATGGCAGTCCTGAAGCAGATCTTGGTAAATTTGCTTGACTACATTCTTTAGGTAGTTGTCCTCCAGTGGCACTTTAGATAGAATTGCAGTGATTTCATCTTGGCTGGAAAGAACAAAAGTTTCATTAATTTTTCTGGAAACTTACCTCCATTTCATTGGAATTCATGTTTTTGGGTATGGTCTCTGAGTCTCTTAGAAAGCACAGATAGGCATTTCTAGAAATAGCCTGTCCAACAGGAACTGAGATTCCAAAAACAAGGCCTAAGAGCAATCCTTTATGAACTGTGAAGTATCTTGACTTAGCTAAAAATATCAACTGTTGGGCGATGGATTTGAGGTGGGTGTATTCTAAACTCGACCATTTTAAAAACTGTCAGCAGTGCGTCTAAAAAGTCACAAAATATATAGTCGGAATGAAATATTATTATATCTGGTTACAAAAGCATTATGATTACACAACTTTTTAAGTGATTATTAAGTGATTATGTGATTATTCTGTTTTTAAGTCCATAGAAGTTATTTATATATGATCTAGGCTAAGCTTATGCCCATTTTTTTCCCTTCTTCATTCCTGTTGTAGGTTAAGAGTATTCAAAAAGTAGAGCAAGTATAAAAGAATAGACCAATGATCTCCAGCATCCACTGGAACTAGAAATGAAGGCCACTGACTTTAAGAGAACAAATTTTTCAAAATGAAGTCAGAGAGAAATGACAATTGGTACTCACTATGGATTATCCATTACTGGTATATCCAGTAATGGTATACATTATTTCTGACCATTTTGAGAGCTCCTTCAAATGATATAACATAGGTAAAAAAGTATTCAGGAGCCCTATCCTGCTGGCCCTTTACTTACCCAATGTTTCCAAGGTGATTTTGAATGGAGAAAGGTAATGGGACAGTTGGAAAATGGACTGAGAGAGGCAAAGTTATCTCAAATTTTGCAAATGCTGTAGAGCTGGAGAATAAAAGTCTCAATCTATAAAAGACAAGATCCTCAATTAAAAATACAAAACAAAAACAGAGTGAAACAAATACATTTTCCTTTTATACTCATATGTGAAACTTAGATGGTACATTATTTACTTGTCCTTATTAAATGGACAGTGGGTAAAAAATCTGGAACAGGGGCATCTGGGTGGCTCAGTGGGTTAAGGCCTCTGCCTTCGGCTCAGGTCATGATCCCAGGGTCCTGGGATCGAGCCCCACATTGGGCTTTCTGCTCAGTGGGGAGCCTGCTTCTCTTCCTCTCTCTCTGCCTGCCTCTCTGCCTACTTGTGATCTCTGTCAAATAAATAAATAAAATCTTAAAAAAAAAAATCTGGAACAAAGATTATTATTACTAGTATCATTTTCATTGTTGGCCATAAAACTCATTAAATCATTTTTAATACATTTTTTACTCATTATTTACTGTTACAGGTTGACCTATGTTCCCTCCTGCCATCCATGTTGAAGCCCTCACCTCCAGTACCTCAGAATGTGACCTTATTTTGAAAATAAGATAATTGAAGATTTAATTAGTTAAGATGAGGTCTTACTGGAGTGAGATGGTGTCCTAACCCAAAATGATTGGTGTCCTTATAAAAAGGGGACATTTGGACACAAACATGCACACAGGAAGCACATCATGTGAAGATGAAAGCAGATACTGGGATTATGTATTTAAAGCCAAGGTATGCCAGCAAATCACTAGAACATAGGAGACAGTCATGGAATAGACTTTCCCTCATAGCTCCTCGGAAAGAACCAATCCTGCTAAGTTCTTGATCTCAGACTTCTAGCCTCCAGAACTGTGAAACAATAAACTGTGGATTGTTTAAGCCACTCAATTTGTAGTACTTTGTTATGGCAGCCCTGGGGAACTAATATACTTACTCAGTATTAGTCACATCTATGTTCATTAGGTTATAATTTGGTCCCCATCTCTTTAAAAACTCAATTTCCTCTCCAAGGAGTCTACAATGGCTCACTACCAGTGAGACTTCTTGAAGCATCTACGAAAAATTGGGGGGAAAATTATGAATACATTTCAATTTTTAATGGCTTTTTTAGACCGCTCGGCCATGCTACCACTTCGTTTAATGGCTCTTTTATAAAGAATCTCTTGAAGTAAAACAATTAATGTTTTTATAGTTTCAGGATCTAATGTTATATACTTAACATTTCAGTTCTGTTTTTTGGGACAGATAACATAATTTTCCTTCAAAATATTTCAATCAGATTTACCTTAGGTACTTGATGCTGTGTTGTACATTTCTTCTTCCAGGATTCCTGTTCCTCAATGTACTGGAAAATAAGCTTATGAACTAAACGGGAAGAAGGAGGAGCTTGATCCTCTGAGGAAGGAAAAAAACAAATCAAAACAGGGTATTACTTATTTTCAAATATCTTATACACATAAGCTAGAAATACCTTCAAACTACTAGGTATTTAAGTATCCTCTCCGTTTTATTTTCAAGCACATAAATCAATGTGTATACATAGTGAACATAGACTTTTTTTTTTTAAAGATTTTATTTATTTGACAGAGAGAACACAAGCAGGGGATTGGAAGAAGGAGAAGCAGGCTCTCCACTGAGCAAGGAGCCCGATGCAGGACTCAGTCCCAGGACCCTGGGATCATGACCTGAGCCAAAGGCAGATGCTTAACCAACTGAGCCACCCAGGTGCCCCACAGACATTCTTATAAAAACTCAAGCCTTTATCATATACGGAATAGAACTTGCTTAAAACCATAAGTTTAAATATAACGCAAATGAGTTTAAATCCTGACTCTCCTTACAACCTGAGGGATCCTAAACACGCTTACTTCTTTTGAGCTATAGTTGCCCATTTATAAAACAAGGAATACTTACTTCAAAGTGTTGATATAAGTAATACAACTGCTTGATATAGAATAAGTACTCAGAATGGTAATTTTTGAATTATGGAAATAGTTATCATTAATCATTGCTTAAAATCTAGTAATATTTTAAAAAATAGTTTCTTTAAAATCCTACCCAACATTTAGAACATTATCCAAGAAATTTTATGTCTAGTACACTTTTTTTTTTATAAAAGATTTTATTTATTTATTTGACAGACAGAGATCACAAGTAGGCAGAGAGAGAGGAGGAAGCAAGCTCCCCGCTGAGCAGAGAGCCTGATGCGGGGCTCGATCCCAGGACCCTGGGATCATGACCTGAGCCGAAAGCAGAGGCTTTAACCCACTGAGCCACCCAGGCGCCCCTCTAGTACACATTTCTAAGGACAAATTATTATTATTATTATTGTTTATGTTTACTTTGTATATGAAAGAGTTCTCAAGGAGCAAATTATACTTGTAAATATTCAACACATTTTTAGTGGATAAGTGTTTGAACTTACCATCCAACAGAGATTGAAAATTCAGGTCAACAATCTTCCTATAAGCTTTGTCCAGGAAAGGGAGACCAACTAGAAAGAACCAGAATAAGAGGAGCACTGTTTGTTTGTTTGTTTACTAATTTACTTACTTGAGAGAGAGAGTATACACCTATACAAGCCAGGCAGGGGTAGGGGAGAAGGAGGAGTAAAGGGAGGGAGGGACAAGTAGAGGCCATGCTGAGTGCAGAGCCCCACACAGGGCTGTATCTCATGACCTGAGCTGAAATAGAATGGGATGCTTAACTGACTGAGCCACCCAGACACCCTGTTATTTCTTTTTATTTTCTGATTTTAAGCCACATACAACTCAGTACTTTAGAATCCTACTCTTTCTGGGTAGCAGGGTTTTTTTTTTCTTATATAGGCAGTTAAAGATGTGTCTTTTTTTTTTTTTTAAAGATTTTATTTAAGAATGAGAGTGTGTGCGCGCATGAGTAGGGTAAGGGGAAGAGAGAGGGAGAGCCAGGCTCTCTGCTGAGCAGGGGCCCCGACGTAAGGCTCAATCCTAAGATCCCGAGACCAAGACCTGAGCCAAAGGCAGATGCCTAACCAACTAGGCCACCCAGGTTCTCCTAAAGGTGTATCCTTGAATCATATTATTCTTTGGCAAGAATAATGGTAAAGGCTCCCCTGAGATTGCTGAACTATATTTACTGGCAAGTCTTTGAAGGAAATTTAAGGTGTAGTACATTTATTGTAAATTTAACAAGGCCTCCTCCTTGATTCCTAACTTTTGTGCAAAGATACTATTTTCAGGCACCATATAAAAAAATGACTATGATCTCTTCATACTGACTATCTTTTTACAAATACAGTGAAAATGATTTATGCTTTTAGCATTAGGGTAATGAGTAGCCAGGAGAGCTTTCCTCCTCCAAATTCTAGAGTTATCGCCTGTCTCTCAAATTTGGATTCTTTTGACTTTGTTGAGTATCTTCTATGTGTTAGGCACTGAGGATATGATAATGAGACAAAGAGACAATCAATTTATATTCTCAAAAAGCTTATACCTCGGGTGGATACACAGATAATTATACCAATAAACACCAAAAACTACAATCAGTGATAAGCACTATTAAGGAAAACCGCAGGAAGCAATGAGAATATATATAATAAGAGGGCAAATAGTAGAGAGAGTGGGTAAAAGGAGAGTCAGGGAAAACTTTCTTGCAGAAATGGTAACTGAGTTGAGCTCTTAAGGATTAACAACAGAAATTTATTTAGTGAAAAGGGAGTACTATGGTCTGAATGTTTGTGTCCCCCATCATATTTTACATATTGAAATCTTAATTCTCCCTGTGATAGTATTAGGAGATGGACATTTGGAAGGCATTTATTAGGTCATGAGGGCTCGAGATTAATGCTGTAATAACTGAGACCCTAAACAGCTTGGTCTTCTAGTATGTAAGGATACAATGAGAAGTCTGCAACCTGGAAGAAGACTCTCACCTGACCATGCTGACACCCTGATCTTGGACTTCCAGCTTCCAGAAATATAAGAAATAAATTTCAATTGTTCAAGAACTACCCAGTTGATGGCATTTTTGTTATAGCAGTTCAAATGGACAAAGATAAGTAAGTGAAAGGGCATCCAGGCATAAAAAAAACATCATCATGAAGGTCCTGAGGTAGGATGGAACATGGCTGAGCATAAAGAGATCAGGATCTTATAAAGAAATGAAAGAGGAGCACCTGGCTGGCTCAGTAGAACGAGCATTACTCTTAACCTCAGGGTCATAAGTTAAGGCCCCACATTGGGTGTAGAGTCTACTTAGAAAAAAAAAAAAAGGAAATAAAAAGGAAATGAAAGAAATCGATGTGCCAAAGTGCAGAGAATAGTTTAATGAGGCAGGAAAAGGAGGAAAAACTTAATTCATGTAAGATATTATAGGCCATAACAAATATTTTGATCATTAGTCTAAGAATATTAGGTGCATGATCAGCAATCACCATGATCACCAAAGCTACAGGAAGGAAGACGAATTGGAGAGGAAAAGGAGAAGATTCAGAAAGGCCAGCTGGAATGTTATTGTAGCCATTTTGTTAGAGATGACTATTGACAGGAAACAAAGAAATGTGCGTCAGTATTAAGAAATTAAAATCACTAAGTCTTACTGATGATTAGATATGTCTGATAAGAGATATAGAGTGATTCCTAAGGTCTATTTTTGTTTATTTATTTATTTATTTATTTTTAAAGTAGGCTCCACATTCAATGTTGGGCTTCAACTTATGACCCTGAGATCAAAAGTTGCATGCATGACTGAGTCAGCCAGATACCTCTAATTCCTAAGTTTAATTTTGGACCTGGACTGAAGTTGATGGTATTATTATTAAGATTTTATTAGTAGTAGTAGTAGTAGTAGCAGTAGTTTATTATTTTTAAATTTTTATTATATATTATTTTGAAAGATTTTATAGATTTATATACTTGGGAGAGAGAGAGAGCATGAGTAGGGAAGGAGCAGAGTGAGAGGGACAAGCTGACTCTGTGTTGAACACAGAGCCTGATCTCAGGACCCTGAGATCATGACCTGAGCTGAAACCAAGAGTCGGATGCTCAACCAACTGAGCTACCCAAGTGCCTCAATGGTATTCTTTGAGAAAAGGAACTTTTTTTTTTTTTTTTAAAGATTTTATTTATTTATTTGACAGAGAGATCACAAGCAGGCAGAGAGGCAGGCAGAGAGAGAGGAGGAAGCAGGCTCCCCTAGAGAGCAGAGAGCCCGATGCGGGGCTCGATCCCAGGACTCTGAGATCATGACCCGAGCCAAAGGCAGCGGCTTAACCCACTGAGCCACCCAGGCGCCCCGAGAAAAGGAACTTTTAAGGAGCATCATGTGTGCAGGCTGGGAGACTGTGAAGTTTGGTTGGCCATGCTGAAACTGTTTCAGAGAAAAGACAAAAAGACACTGATAGGAGACTCTCAACAAAATAGCTAGAACTCTGTCCAGGCACCATAAAGTGACTCTACCTATTTTGATAAGCCTGCCAAACACAGAACTTCCAATTAACTTTTTAGGTTAACTTAAGTACAAAAAAAAGTTAAGAGTCACCAGCCATTAGAGTAAATCCGCTATCACAAAACACAGATGGAGAAAAGGAACTCAGAAAAACAGACACAAATAGCATGTTGACCCATTATTTGGATATGTAAAATTTCTATCATCTAATGTAATCCAATGAAGGTCAACTTTCACTAGCTGAATTTTTATTTTATTCCTTATCTAACAAAATTCTATTATCAGAAATTAAAGTGATCAACTTTTCTAAGATTTTCAGGAGCACTTTCATTATGTCAATAGTTATTATATTAAAATAAAGATTGGACTCTTTAGTGAGTTTGCCATACATTTTCTTTTTTTAAAGATTTTATTTATTTATTTGACAGAGATCACAAGTAGGCAGAGAGGCAGGCAGAGAGAGAGAGGAGGAAGCAGGCTCCCTGCGGAGCAGAGAGCCTGATGCGGGACTCGATCCCAGAACCCTGAGATCATGACCTGAGCCGAAGGCAGAGGCTTAACCCACTGAGCCATCGAGGCGCCCTGCCATACGTTTTCACGCAGAGGAATTATCTTACTTTTGCTACTCACCTACTGTCTCTCCAAAGGTGATGGTGAGTTCTATTGTGTCATAAAGGAAGGTGAATACAGCTTGATCATCACTCCACTCAATGACTTCCCACTCAGACAAGCTGGAGAGGAAGAAAGAGAGACAAAGAATTTTTTTCTGAGGTAGAAGAAGAGAGTTAACTTCTGATACCATGCTAACCATACCAGAAATAGCTGCTGAAGTTTTCTACTGGCTTGGGAGACAATCAATATTTTTGTTTTAAAGATTTTATTCATGTATTTGACAGAGACACAGTGAGAGAGAGAATACAAGCAGGGGGAGTGGGAGAGGGAGAAGCAGGCTTCCTGCTAAGCAGGGAGCCTGATGCAGGGCTCCATCCCAGCACCCTGGGATCATGACCTGAGCTGAAGGCAGAGGCTTAACCCACTGAGCCACTATACTTGATGTTGGGTACATGACTCTTTTTCAGAATGTATAGTATTATAAGTTAAAACAGCGATACATATTACAAACACATGTCAATTGCTGTAATAGATTTAGACAACTACAAAGGCACAGGATAAAACACAAACTAATGACACCTACTTTTCCTTACCTCAACTGATCCAGTAGCTTTTCAGTTCTATCTGTTTGTTTTTGTACAAAGTCTATTTGAGCAAGGGTCTGTTCTTTCTGTGCTTCCAGTTCTAAAAGATTTCTGCAAATCAAAGTAGGTATTCAGAGTGAGATAAGGCTATTGTCACAATTTGGACTCCATTAAAATAAAGGTTTATTTTAGTCAAAAAGTCACATGCTAGACAGCTCCCCACTGAAGTGAATGGCATCCATTTTTGTTTTCTTAGGCTTCTTTCGTCCGTCCTTCCTTCCTTCCTTCCTTTCTTTCTTTGATAAGCATTAATCTAGAAATGTGGGTCTAATTAGGAAAGGCTTAAGTCAATGGTTCTAAAAATTAGGATCCATGAAGGCATCCTTGAAGGTTTGCATATTCTTTAAGATTATTAAAATTTACTCTTTGTTTTGGTGATAAAATATAACCATAATGTAGGTCATAAGAATGCCCACCTTAAAACTAGACATGCCATAATTTTGATGCCTGTGATTGGCTTTTTTAGTTTATTAGCGCTAAATAGAACTTACACCTTGTTAGTCATTTTGCTAGTATTAAGTTTAGCCAAACATTATCAACTGTCAAGTTAATGTTGTCAGTTGGAATTTTATTAGTTTGTCATTATTTATATTTGGTTCACTTTAATCTTATAGTTAAATGAGATCCATAACAATAAGAAAAATATACCTCATTTTATACTTATAATTAAGTATATTATAAAAGTAAAATATAAAAACAGCTTAATGCTAGGTTAATTTTCTTTGAAAGGATCCTGATATTATTCAAGCTTGAAAAGTACTACCTTGGATTAACAGGCTATAAACAGTAAGGGCTTAAAAAATGTTGTCAACTAAGATGGATCAAATTCAAGGTGGAGCAGAAGCCCTGAGTCAGTCTTAAGTCAATACTCATGTGCCTCATCTCCTCAGTTTTTGGAGGTAGAAGTCATTCAGTCATGTAAAGTTTAGCTTATTTTTTAACATTCCAAATGAAGGCTGACCTTTGAAGCTCTTCTTCTTCAGTTTTCAGCTGTTCCAGTTCTTTAGAAAGAAAACAAAACAAATTTATCAGAATGGACACATTAAAATGTTGCTACAAAAATCATCTGTTCTACTGAAAATTCTGTATCATTTAATCTCACCTAAATAGATTGTTTTTTCCCCCTTTACTTCCTTAATTAATTTAGTTACCTTTCTTTTCTTTTTTAAAGATTTTATGTATTTATCTGAGAAAGAGAAAGAAAGAAAGAAAGAAAGAGGAGGAGCAGAGGGAGAGGGACAAGCAAACTCCACACTGAGTGCAGAGCCTGATTCAGGGCTTGATCTTATGACCATGAGATTAAGATGAGCCAAAATCAGGAAATGGGTGCTCAAACAACTGAGCTACCCAGACACCCCTTCAGTTACCTTTCTCTGCAGCTCTCATTTCAGAATCCCATTCTTCCATAGGACTGTCTTTCTCTCCATCCTCCAAATTCTTAGTTTCTAAGTAGGCAATGTGCATTAGAATATCTCAGTCAAAAATAACCAGAGATGAGAAAAAAAAAAGATGGTCCCAAAATGAAGAGTTAACAATATTTTACAAGCACTCATCATTCCCCATCTTCCTCACCAATAAAGCACTGAGCTATAATTATAATTTCATACAAAGACTTGCTTCTAGTGGCAGACAAGTGAACTTCAAGCTGTACAGCAATGATCTCCAACAGCAACTTCTCAGGGGCCACTTTGAGGTGGAAATCGTTTAAATATAATTTGCATACATCAAAGTTATTGTTAGGCAATCCCATGGACAAGAAGCAGGAACAGATACACATATACAAATGCATGCATGCACATTTTAAAATCTTAATTTGCTTTTGAAAACTTAAAACTTCATCCTTAAAATCCCTTTCCCTTCCCAGATCCAAACTGAGTTTAGATTTTTATATCAGAAACAAAACTTCTTTTTAAAGATTTTATTTATTTATTTGACCAAGTGTGTGTGTGTGTGTGTGTGTGTGTGTGTGTGTGCGCACAAGCAGGGGGAGCAGCAGAGGGAGAGGGAGAAGCAGGAACCCAATGTGGGGCTCGATCCCAGGTTAAAGGCAGCCACTTAACTGACTGAGCCACCCAGGCACTCCTGTTCTTTTTAATTCTTTTTTTTTTTTTTTAAGATTTTATTTATTGGGGTGCCTGGATGGCTCAGTCATTGTGCATCTGCCTCTCTCTCTGACAAAGAAATAAAATAAAATAAAATAAAATAAAATAAAATAAAGATTTTATTTCTTTATTTGTCAGAGACAGAGAGAGAAAGAAATAAAGAACACAAGCAGGGGAGTGGCAGGTAGAGGGGAAGCAGGCCCCCACTGAGCAAGGAGGCCGATGTGGGACCAGTCCCATGACCTTGGGATCACGACCTGAGCTGAAGGCAGATGCTTAACCAACTGAGCCACCCAGGCATCCCTGTTCTTTTTAATTCTTAAAAATATTTCATGTTTTCTCTTTAGTTCTTTATATAAATTTATTTTATAAGTCAAAACTCCTTAAGAGACCCTCCATGGCCAGACCCCTAAAGCTAACATCTCCAGCTTTAGCTCAGATCATGTTCTCTCTTATGCTTTTTCTATTCTAGCCACATTGGCCTTATTTCAGACCTTGTACTTGGTATATTCTTTCCCATAAGAGCTTCTGCATGTGTATTCATATTCAATAGCCTACTCTCCCCTCCTCACTTTAACTCTTCCTTAGTCTTCAGCTCTTAGCTTAAATGCTACTTCCTCAGAGGGGAGCTGGTCTTGACCTGACTAGGTTATATTTCTATTTCAGGACCTTAGAAGCACCATGTAACCCCTCTTTTGTAACCACTTACCATAAAACTATTCAATTCTTTCTTTTTTTTTTTTTTTTAAGATATATTTGCAAGAGAGAGAGAGAGAGAGAGAGAGAAAGCATAAGTGGGGGTTGGGAGAGAGGCAGAGGGAGAAGGAGACTTCCTGCTGAGCAGGGAGCCTGAGGTGGGTCTCCATCTCAGGATGGGACCAGATCATGACTTGAGCTGAAGGCAGATGCTTAACGAACAGAGCCACCCAGGCACCCCCTATGTGTTTAATTCTTATATTCTTTTCTAGATGAGAAGCTCCACAAGGCCATAAAAATTTTTGTTTTTGTTTTTTTTTAAATATTTATTTATTCATTAGAGAGAGAGTGCAAGTAAGTGAGCATGTGCGTAAACAGGAGATGGGGGAAGAGAAAGAAATCTAAGCAGACTACACTCTGAGCTGGAGCCCATTGTGGGTAGTGCTTGATCTCACAACACTGAGATCATGACCTAACCCTAAACTAAGAGTAGATTGGTTAACCAACTGTACCACCCAGGCACTCCTAAGTTTTTGTTTTTTTATCACCATAGTATTCTTAGCACTGAGCACTATACATGGCACAGAGTAAGTACTCAGTGTATTTGCACAAGGAATAATGAAGGAATGAGAAAGAAATAGAGAGCTATTTGTTAGTAAGTCCTAGAGAGGGAAGTGTGGTTTTTTGGTATTTTAAAGATAAAAGAGAGGTGAATATATCCTTTAGAGAGGAGGCAGGGACTACATAAGAGATAAGGAAAAATCAGTGATATGAAATTCCTAAGAAGAGGGAATGGAACTCAAAGTTTAGGTGGAAAGATTGGTCTCTGGGAAAAGAAGGATGGATGAAAGAATGAATATAGATATATAAAGGTTTGTTTGGCAATAGGAAGTTTAGAAGTTGTAGCCTAATAGCTTCTATTTTTTTGTCTGTGAAGTAGAGAGAAAGGTAATGAACAAAGGGGTAGGGCAATCAAGATTTTGGAATTCGTATTATCAATGCAATGCAGTTATACTCAAAACAAAGCATAGTGTTAAGAACTCTGAGGGATATGGACAAAAATAAAGGCAGATTCTTCCATGGAGCTTACAATTTAGTTAGGGAGATAAACTACACAAAAGAAACTGTAATTACAAGTAGATGTATGGCTACTATAAGAAGGACTAACAAAATAGCTATAGGAGCTCAAGGGAGATGATGACTACCTCCTTTGGTAGAAAACAGAAGAATGTACTAGCAAAGACGAAGTGGCACTACTGCATAGAGATGACAAGATTTGGTTGGAATTTGGGATGCATAATAAAAACTAAAAGTAAATCATGTAAGAAAGGAAGATCTATAAAGGGCTGGAGAAAAAAAAATGGAGAATGTTAAATGTCAAGGTCTGGTGTTTGGACTTTGTTATAAATGGAAAGATAAGTTTTTCAATGAAATAATGAAAACTGTTCTTCATAATTATTTAATCTGGCAACAATGCACAAGTTGGACTGGAAAGAGAATAAAGTAAGAGTGTAGATAGATTAGTTAGAAAACTTGAAATAGCACATCAGAATTAATGATAGCCTTAATGGGAATGGGAAAGAATACAAGGGATGCCGAAGAAGTAGGTATGACAGGACTTGATAAGAGAAACTCAAAGACAAAGAAAGTTTTTAGCTTTTTACACTTTATAACAATAGTGATGCCTTTAATATAGATAAGAAACATCATATGAGAGCAAGTTTTCAGGCTTTATTTTAGAAATGGGAGAAGACAGTAAATTCCCTTTTATTCACACAGAGTTTAAGGTACCTAGAGATATTTTTGCATAGAGGTTCAGCAGGAAGCTAGAAAGATTAAGTTTGGACCTCAAGAGAGAGGCTAACGATGCCTTAGCTCAGAATAATTATAAGCTACTGAAAGTCAAAATCTGTGTTTACAATATCTTTTTTTCTGATGCTAAGCACAGTATCTGGTGAATTTAACTGAATTTGGGAATCATTTATATAAATACAAATGTTAAAGCAGATGAAAGCAGTAAGGGAAAGAACATAGAAATAACTAGATGATAAAATCTAAATGCCTACACAGGAGATTAGAGAGAGACAAACAGAAGGACTAAAAGAAATACTCAGGAAGAAAGCAAATAGTCGGGGTAGTACAATATCACAGAGGCTTAGGGAGATGAAAGGTTCAGAAAGAAAATAATCAGCAGTGTCAAATGCTGAGAGGTCAAGATGTTTAAGGGCCAAGAGCTTCCAAATTTGATGATTATGAGGAATTTCGTGATCTTTGAGAAAGCAGTTTCAGGACAATAACACTAACAATGCAGAATTATGAGAGATCAAACTGAAAGGAGAGATCATTTTCAAAGACAATAAGTTCATCTATTTTAAAAAGTAAGGTTATGGTCTAGATTATGAAGAGCTTTCTAAAGAGATTTATTATCTTGAGCATCTCTTGTTGATTGTTGCAGATGACCACAGGAAAGGAGTTTTATTTTGCTCTAATTTAATGTCTCAAGTTGCTAATACAAGGCTTGACATAAGTGATACCAGCAATCCGTACTATAGGGAAGCATTTAGACAAAATTAAATTTTCTTTTGGAAAAGTATTCAAAACACATTACCTATTTCAACCTCAGTGAGATAGTTTTCAATCTTCTTAAGTACGTTGTCCATCTCATCTATCCTTATCTGAAGTTTCTCCCTCTCATTCTAAACACACAATATTATATTGTCAAGTTAAACCTCTAAACAAAATATTTAAACATTATAAATGGTTAAACTCGCTGACATACTGCTATATCATGAATAGGAAAATCTTAAAATGAAGGTCGAAGCTTCAAGTCTGGACTTAAAATGTATTTAAAAAGCATACATAACATTAATATAAACTTATTTTTGTACTTTCCTTTATTACAGTATTTCCATATAATATAAGATACTAAATACATATTACTTAAAAAAAATCTTTTTGTTTTCAAAGATTTTATTTTTAAGTAATCTCTATATTCAATATGGGGCTCAAATCTATAACTCTGAGATCAAAAGTCTCACACTCCACTGACTGAGCCAGCCAGATGCTCTCCCGAAAAAGGAATTATTTTTTATTTTTATTTAAAGAAAATTTTTAGATGGGGGAGGAGAGTAATAGAGGGAGAGGGAGAAACAGAATCTTAATCCACACCCAGTGTGGAGTGTGACTTGTGGTTTAATCTCACAACCCTGAGATAACTACCTGAGCCAAAATCAAGAGTCAGACACTTAACCAACTGAGGCACCCAGGTGCTCCCCCAAAAGAATTCTTTTTTAAAAATCGTATTTATTTGTTTGAGAGATAGAGTGTGGCAGAAGGAGAGGGAGAAGGAGGTTCCCTGCTGAGCAGGGAGCCTAACAGGCGCTTAAACCTAGAACCTCGGGATTATAACCTAAGCTGAAAGCAGACATTTAACCAAATGAGCCACCCATGTATTCCCGAAAAAAGAATTCCTAAAAAAATGTTCTATGGTCAAATAACTAAACAGAATTATAGCATGTTTTGTTCCTTTTAGACTTAAAAAAAGTATTTCTGACTTTTTTTTTTTTTTTAAGATTTTATTTATTTATTTGACAAAGAGAGAGATCTCAAGTAGGCGGAGAGGCAGGCGGAGAGAAAGGAGAAAGCAGGCTCCCCGCCGAGCAGAGAGCCGGATGCGGCGCTTGATCCCAGGACCTTGGGATCATGACCTGAGCTGAAGGCAGAGGCTTTAATCCACTGAGCCACCCAGGCGCCCCTATTTCTGACTTTAGACTTTAATATGCTACCTATTACATTTCTCCAAGGGGTAATATGGCACATATTGTTTCTCAGAATTATTTGCCAATGGAAAGATAATTTTTTTAATGCAGAGTACACTCATTTTGGGAAATGCGACTTTAAACATGCACACAAAGGGACACTTGGCTGGCTTAGTCGGTAGAGCGTGTGACTCTTGATCTTGGTGTTGTTTGAGCCCCACGTTGTGTGTAAAGATTACTTAAAAACATAAATAAACAAATAAAAATAAACATGCACAGTTGGGTCTGGACTATGAGGAAGATAATACTCCAGTATAGTCCTTAGCAATGGAAGAGCAGAATCCTATACTGTTTTATTTCAACATGTATAATAGATAACAAATTTGAGATGAGACACAGGTCCATATTTGTAAATATATTCTAGAATTACTCAAGATGCCAGATTTCCCAATTTTGATAAATTGAAACCTACGTCTTTATGAACGATGTTCCTTAGGAAACATTCTTCGTATTCTACAATCACTATAAAGTAATTTTAATACATCTTTCTTTCTATGCTGTTAACTGTTTCAAATTACCTGAGCTGACTGTACCAGCTTGCTGTAGAGAGACACTTTTCCTTGGTGAGTGAAGACTTTAGTCATCTTGGTAAAACGTGATTTTATTTTGTTCAGGTAAATTCCAAAGGCTTTCAGCTGCAAGGGAAAATTAAAGGTTAAGGTGTACTAAAACAAATGAGTTAAGTAAGACAAATGGTCTGGGAAGGCTAGTTCAGCTGCTGTGGGCTATTCTGCCTATCCTAGACTGATTCCTAAGGCAGGGCACATCCCATTTGCAAACTTAATAACATGAGTAATTTAAAAACAGACCCAAAGATTTTAATTTTAATTCTTGTTTTTAAATCATTTTTCATAGTACAAGTTAGAAAATGACAGGCCCTAAATTAATAAAACTCTTAATATATTAGAGCAATATAAATGAGGTCCTATTTAACCACTTAAAGTAAATCTTTTCCTCATCTAAATCTAAGTGATACAAGTAGGAGGAAATTCTAAATGAACTTTAAACATATTTCATATATTTAATTGGACATTTTGGTTTGAAAAGATTATGTATTTTAAAAATTACTCGTGTAATTTGGGGCACCTGGGTGGCTCAGTGGGTTAAAGCCTCTGCCTTCAGCTCAGGTCATGATCCCCACATTGGGCTCTCTGCTCAGCAGGGAGCCTGCTTCTTCCTCTCTCTCTCTGCCTGCCTCTTTGCCTATTTGTGATCTCTGTCTGTCAAATAAATAAATAAAATCTTAAAAAAAAAAATTACTCGTGTAATTAAATAAAAACCTCACTAACATATTATACCTGAAAAGTTAAAGAACTTGTCACTAATTATCAAGTAACAGTTACTTATTTCACAATAAACAGGTTCAAAATGTCTATACTGATTCCTATTCAGAAAATGAGTTAAAAATACCTCCTCATCAGAGCAGTGTCTCATTTTTTCCCACAGGTTCCTATTTACATCAGTCAACAGTTTATCCTGGTTCAATGCAGAAAGCTTTAATCTAAAATATAGAAAATAAAATAAAATATAGAAAAGTTAATAATTAGCACAGGGTTCAGAAGTCAGCTTGAATGAATCAACTCAGATTTACAGGCATACTTAATTTAATCCTTCCTAGTCCTTTTCTATATTAAAAAGGGTGGAAATTAACTCAAGAACAGTGGTCAGCCTGATTATTTCAACACTTGTAGAACAGTTCAAGAATGTTATAAATCAGGGTGCCTGGGTGGCTCAGTGGGTTGGGCCGCTGCCTTTGGCTCGGGTCATGATCTCGGGGTCCTGGGATCGAGCCCCATATCGGGCTCTCTGCTACCCTTCCTCTCTCTCTCTGCCTGCCTCTCTGCCTACTTGTGATCTCTGCCTGTCAAGTAAATAAATAGATAAATCTTTAAAAAAAAAAAAAAGAATGTTATAAATCAGAAAAACTTCCCTTACAATCTCAATCAACTTGTTCCAATATGAAAACATGTTGCTTTTAAAGAATCCTTAGGGCCTATCAATGGATAATTGTGAACTTGTAGCTATTACTTTAAGTAAAAGTTCCCAAGTCAGTTCCCAGTCCTATCTCACCTTTATACAATAGCATTTGTAAACGTAGCAAAATTATATATTAGTCTCTTATTAATGAGAAATAAATTTTTATCAGAGTTGGAATATATTATATACAAGAACATAAATATAAAATCAAACAGTAGACCACATCTAAACAGACTGTGCATTGTGTGTGAGATCTTATTTTATTCAAAATGAAACATTCTAAGACAAGTTTTTAGACACTTAACTCTTTCAAACAACATGAAGAAAAAAAATTTTACTGTCCTATTCAGTGATGAACCCTAGTACTTAGTATAGTGCCTGGCACAGCGTGGGTGTTCAATATATAGTTGTTGAATGAAAAACCAGAATCAGGCAAATCTGCAGTATTATAATTTAACAGCATCTTAAGTTTTTAGTTTAAAAACTAAATAGCTATTTAAAAATTATTTTATTTCTTTTCTGTTTGTTAGGCTGGTTTAAATTTAGTTGAATAGTTCTAGATAAGTATGATATAAAATATATTTTGGGTTGCAAGTCTAATTTACCTGAGGGAATTTAGATATACATAATCTGTAAATTAGTATGCAGGATCTACATACCAAAGCACTGAGCAATAATCTGTGTAATATCATGTACTTTCTGACCTCCAAATCAAGGGCAAATTGTGATAAAACTATAAACCCTAAAATAATCTTGATTTCAGACACAATTTATAAATTCCTATTATCTACTTTTGACGATGTTCTTTTGCAATCAATTCATGATATCATAAGCTTTTAACTATTTACTGAGGACATACTTTCTGCTACAAATGGTGTGAAAATATTTTATATACATTAATGTTACTGCTCATTTCTACCTACTGAGTAGGTATTATTATTCCTAATTTATGGATGTTGAAATGAAGGGTTAAATATCTTACATAAAGTTACATAGCTAGTGCTGTAGCCAGGATTGAGCTTCAATCTGTCTGCCTACAAACCTGATTCTTTTCCACATTCCGTATGACACCGCCAGTTAATGCTATGAACTTTTTCCTATGTCAATGCCTAATTAAAACCTTACCACAGAGATTATCCACCCATCTAACAAAACACACACACAAAAACTTTCATACTCTTCAATCTTCTGCCGAAGAGCTTCACAATCTTCTCTATAAATCTGTATCTTGGGTCGGTAAACATACTGACTTAACATCAGGTCTTCTGGCGTAGGTGGTGTGTTTATAGTAAACTGGAAAAAAAAGAAAATCAGTCCCTCAAAACTGGTAGTTTGGAGACAAAACTATATTTACGAACTGTTTCAAGTTTCAGTGGGCTTATTTTAAAGTTCTATGAAGAAAAATTTGATTACTCTCTGAAATTGATACACCCAGTAACCTATTAGCTGGAATGTGAAAACAAGTCTCTGACATCAAAGTCTATTTCCTACAGATGTTTAGTGGATGTTCCCCTCACATGTGTTTGAATAGTGATTTGAAAATGGCTTGTGTGGTTTTAAGAAAATCAATACCTAAAAATTCACACTTATCAGGAATCCTTTCATTAAAAAAGACAGAAAAAAGATACCAGTTTCCTAGATTATTCTTTTCTACTCTCATTCTCTAGTCCTGATCTTTACTTCTATCTTCTTATCTTCTATCATTGAATTCAAATTTTTCTGACATATGTAAAATAAGGTAGTAAAAATTTGGTTATTTTATTTTATTTTTAAAGATTTTATTTATTTATTTGACAGACAGAGATCACAAGTAGGCAGAGAGGCAGGCAGAGAGAGAGGAGGAAGTAGGCTCCCCGCTGAGCAGAGAGCCAGATAATGTGGGGCTCGATCCCAGGACCCTGAGATCATGACCTGAGCCAAAGGCAGAGGCTTTAACCCACTGAGCCACCTAGGTGTCCCCTGCCCATTTCTTGATGGTATTTTTTCTTTTTTGGGTGTTGAGTTTGATAAATTCTTTATAGATTTTGGATACTGGCCCTTTATCTGATATGTTATAATCCAATGACTTTTTGATGTCCTTTATGCTACTGGAAATCCAAGTCAATTCCTTACATCATATTACATGTAAAAGCCAAAACAAACAAAATCCCACAACTGCCCAATATTCATAGGCAGTATGGTACAGAATAAGTAATTCTACCACTTTAAGATTTGGTCTCTTCATTTATAAATTGGGCACAATATTGATCCATCTCTTAAGAGTATAGTAAAAGGTTTTGTTTGTTTTTAAAGGTTACTCAAGCCCAGGGCCTCATAAAATAATCTAACAAATGTTAGTTTTTTCTCACTTTCTACTTCTATTTGATAAATTAAAAGGATGTAACTGAATGAGGTTTTAATCTCCTTTCTCTATCCCTAACACATCTTCTAGCAGATGTGCTAAGAAAGTATAAAAAAGTGCTAAAAGCAATTATAACTGAAGTTGACTCTCTTTGTTAAAGACATTTTTAAGGCTAGACTTATAAATAAAAATCAAAGCTCTGTGCACTGGCTCAAAAAGAAAAGGCAACACTAGAACCCAGACTGTGCTTTTTAAACACAGTTTTCTCACTCAAAGAAATCAGGCATCCTTGGGAAAATGGCTAAATGCTTTCATATAGGAGCCAGATGATTGACAAAGAAACATTTCTTTTTATAGAAATATCTGGACAATAAATGGTAGCATTAGTTTACAACTACTACTTTACAACTCCTAATGAATTACTAGATCTAGATAATGATTTAATGGCTGCCTATGCATCATAACCAGACATTATTTCCTGATGGAAGTACGACTATAAGGTGAACTTGGAAAAAAAAAAAAAAAGTGAATCTGATAAGCCTCTGCCAACTTACAAATACAGGAGACAGAGAACAGGTTAAAAAAACATTTGCGTGTGCACCATTGTTAAAATACACACTCTGGTAAACCCCACAGAAAAAACTAGTTTCTTCATCAAAAAGAAAAAAAAGGAGAGAGAAATGAAAGGGGACAATACTATTTAGAAGATTATTAAGAGATACCTACTAATTATAATATTTCAACCTCATTTAGTAAACTCAATGTAGTAAACGGGAAAATAATGCTTAAGACAACCAGGGAGAGGGTACCTGGATGGCTCAGTTAGTTAGTGTCCACCTCTTAATTTCAGCTCAGGTAATGATCTCAGGGTTGTGAGATCGAGCCCCAAGTGAAACTCTGTGCTGGCCGTGGAGCCTGCTTAAGATACTCTGTCTCCCTTGGGGTGCCTGGGTGGTGCAGACAGGTAAGCATCCGACACTTGGTTTCGGCTCAGGCGGCTCAGATTGTGAACTCAGGGTCATGACATGGAGCCTGCATTAGGCTCTGCTTAGAGCCTGCTAACTCTCCCCTTCAACCCCCCATCCCTGCACTCACACTCTCTCTTTAAAAATAAAATGAAATGACAATCAGGGAAATATAAATACTGACTTAATAGTCATTTTAAGGTATAATTATTATATGTGTATTTATTTTTAAAATGAGTCCTCATCTTTTCAGGAATACATACTGAAATATGTTAAATTGATGATGCCTGGAATTTGTTTCAAAATAACGGGTGGGGAGTAGGGATATGTAGAGATAAAACAACAGTTAATAATTTTTGAGTTGAAAAAGGGTAGGTTTCCTCCTGGACCTCCATAACCACCAGTGAAACACAGGACCACACTCCCAGAGATTCATCAGGAATGCAAGTGTCAATGGATATCAGGCTAATGCACTGTGGGTACATATTGGCTGCATCCGCCTATGCTGTATACAATAGCTAGGTTAATTTGCTGCATCTTGAGCCCAGGATCATGTACACAAGCCACCCTCCTCCCTTCATTTATCTATTTTGATTACGTACCCAATTTGTGCACAATCAATGCTTTGGTATTTCAGGCCTGGCAGGGTTACCTGCAGTTCTTCAACCTCACTGAGAAGGGAAAGGGTGTTATTTTGGTACTTCTGCCTGAGGCACTCCATGGGCATGCTGAGGGTTGTGGGGCACTACAACAGCACTATTTGCTGGTGATACCTGCTGAGTTTCTGTAACTGCAAACACATATGAGTGCTGTAGATGTGTCTATAACGGGTAGCACATAATTCCCCACTTGCCTCAAGAATACTCTCCCCAGGAGTACCTGGTTGGCTCAGCTGGTAAAGCATGAGACTTTTTTTTTTCTTTTTTAAAATGTAATCTCTACACCCAACATCAGGCTCGAACTCATGACCCCAAGATCCAGGGTTGGATGTTCTACCAACTAGCCAGCCAGGCACCCCAGGCAATGTGACTCTTGATCTCAGGATCACGAGGTCAAGCCCCACACTGGGTATAGAGCTTACTTTAAAAAAGAATAAAAAGAACATTCTCCCCTGTTCCATCCTAAAAGAGACTCACAGTTACCCAAGTCCTATATCAGATGCCCCTAGTTATAAACTTCATTTTCCATGGTTCATATATAGTCTATCTCTTTGTCCTTTCCCTACTTTAGGATTTTTAAATTTCTTTTCTGGGATAGCATAAATTCTCTATCTTGATGGGTTTGTTCCCAGATCTATTTCCTTAACACTGACCTTTCTGACCTCTGCAAGGCCTGAGAGGAAACAGGAAGATTCAGTTAACTCCTGAGGTATTCTCTCCCTGTTTACCCTGTCACCATCCTCTTTGCTCTTATCTTTCCCCTCTGTTTTCTCCCAGTCCCCTGGTACTTTTTCTGCTTTTCTAAGGATGCAGGCTCTGGATACATACCTAGACAGCTTTCTACTTTCCATCTACAGCTAAAGCAAGAGGATGCTCATGAGAAGGGTAGAATAATGAAGTTGGGAACCAAGAAGATGTGTGTTCATTTTTCCATTTCCATCTTTGATTTATACTTCATATTTATTTGTTTTTATTTATGTATTTATATATTTATGTAGTTATTTAAATTATTTTATTTATTTGAGAGAGAGAGGAAGAAATTGAGCACAAGCAGGGGGAAAAGCAGATGGAGAGGGACAAGCAGACTCCCCACTGAGTGGGGAGCATGACACAGAGCTCAATCCTCAGATCCTAAGATCATGACCTAAGCAGAAATCAGATGCTTAACCAACTCACTCATCTAGGCACCCCTATACTTCACATTTAAATTTTTTAAAGATTTTATTCATTTATTTGACAGACAGAGATCACAAGTAGGCAGAGAGGCAGGCAGAGAGAGAGGGTGAAGCAGGCTCCCCACTGAGTAGAGAGCCCGATGTGGGGCTCAATCCCAGGACCCCGGGATCATGACCTGAGCTGAAGGCAGAAGATTTAACCTACTGAGCCACCCGGGTGACCCTATACTTCACATTTAGATATACAATACTGGAATTGATTTATTTCTACATAGCTGTTTCTTAAAAGTTTTATTTATTTATTTATTTATTTATGAGAGAGAAAGAGAGCGCGAATGCACGAACAGGGGGAGTAGGAGAGGGAGCAGCAGCCTCTCTGTTGAGCAGGGAGCCCAATGCAGAGCTAGACCCCAGGACCCCAGAATCATGACCTGAGCTGAAATCACGTGCTTAATTGACTGAGCCACCCAGGCACCTCTAAATAGTTCTAATTTTTTTTTTTAAGATTTTATTTATTTATTTGACAGAGAGAAACAGCAAGAGAGGGAATGTAAGCAGGGGGAGTGGGAGAGGGAGAAGCAGGATTCCTGCTGAGCAGGAAGCCCCATGCGGGGCTAGATCCCAGGACCGTGAGGCTTTAACTCACTGAGCCACCCAGGCACCCCTATGTCTAACTTTTTGACAAACTGTTTTCCAAAGTAGCTGTGCCATTGCCACCAGCAATGTATGAAATGCCATTGCCACCAGCAATGTATGAAAATTCTAATTTCTCTATATACTTGCCAACACTTTTTATTTTCTTTTTGATTACAGCCATTATAGTGGGTGTGCAGTAGTAACTCATTGTAGTTTTATTTATATATTTATTTTGAAAGATTTATTTATTTTAGAGTGAGAGAAACAGAGAGAGTGCATGTGAGCAGGGGAGGGGCAAAGGGAGAGGAACTATGAAAGAATCTCAAGCAGACTCCCTGCTGAGCATGGAGTCTGACTTGGTGCTCCACCTAGGGCTTAATCTCAGGATCCTGAGATTATGACCTGAGCCAAAACCAAGAGTCAGATGCTCAACTGACTGAGCCTCCCAGGAACCCTTCATTGTCGTTTTAACTTGCATTTCCTTAATGACTAATGATGCTGAAAACGTTTTTCCATACTTATTGTCAGTTGTATGTGTTCTTCAGAGAAATGTTCATTCAGATCCTTTTGACTATTTTTTAAATTAGGTTGTCTTTTTATTACTGAGTTGAAAAGTTCTTGATATATTCTGGGTACAAGTCCTTTATAAAACGTATGATTTGCCAATGCTTCTTCCCATTCTGTTGGTTGTCTTTTCACTCTCTTGATGGTATCATTTGTACCACAGAAGTATTTTGTTTGTTTTTCTTTAGAGAGAGAGAGAGACAGCAGGAGCAAACGGAGGAGATGGGTAGAAAACCTTAAGCAGGCTCCATGCCCAGTGCAAGACTGACATGAGGCTTGATCTCATAACCCTGAAAGATCATGAAGTCAAGAGTCAGATGCCCAACTGACTGATCCACCCAGGTACCCCCATGTAACACAGAAATTTCTTTGATGAAGGCCAATTTTTGTCACTTGTGTTTTTGGTGTTATATAGACTTAATTTTTATGTATAGTGTGAACTATGGGACAAAGCTCATTTTTTCTTATGGATAACCAACTGATGCAACACTATTTACAGAAAAGACCACTTTCTGCAGTGGCATCTTTATCATAAACCAAATGTCCATATTTGTGTGGGTCCATCCGTCCTTCCTTCCTTCCTCCCTTGTTTATTTTCTCCCTCTTCCCTCCCCCTTTTTATTTCCTTTAATTTTTTTTTATAGCAAGCTCTATGCCTCATGTGGGGCTTAAACTCACAACCCTGAGACCAAGAGTCACATGCTCTACTGACTGAACCAGCCAGGTGCCATCGTGTAGGTCCATTCTTTAAAAGTTAGCTAGAACTCATTTGGATCTAGTGATTATTTTAAGACAAATTACAAAATAAAATTTTCAATGATAATAAAAGTTTTCCAGTTTTTAGGTTAACTTTGGTAATTTATATTTTGCTAAAAAATCATCTAGGTCTTAAAATTTGTTGTCGAGTTGATGGATTAAAAAAATTCTTTTACTCTCTGGACATGTCTTCTTTCCTAACCATCTATATTTTAGCCTTCTCTGTTTTCTTAATTATGCTCTTTAAGGGTTTTCTTTTTTTTTTTTTTTAAGATTTTATTTATTTATTTGACAGAGAGATCACAAGTAGAGAGGCAGGCAGAGAGAGAGAGGGAAGCAGGCTCCCTGCTGAGCAGAGAACCCGATGCGGGACTGGATCCCAGGACCCTGAGATCATGACCTGAGCCGAAGGCAGCGGCTTAACCCACTGAGCCACCCAGGCGCCCTCTTTAAGGGTTTTCTTATTTTATTGTCTTTTCAAAGTACCAGCTTTTGGATTTGCTGTTCTTTCTACTAATTTTTGTTTCCTGTTTCATTAGCTTTACCATTTATTTGTATTAATTCTGCCTTCTTGCTTTTTTTTTTTTTTAAGATTTTATTTATTTATTTAACAGAGAGAGAGAGATCACAAGTAGGCAGACAGGCAGGCAGAGAGAGGGGGGAAGCAGGCTCTCTGCTGAGCAGAGGATCCCCCCGCAATGTGGGGCTTGATCCCAGGACCCTGAGACCATGACCTGAAGCTGAAGGCAGAGGCTTAACCCAATGAGCCACCCAGGCGCCCCCTGTCTTCTTGCTTTTTTAATGGGTTTTATTTTATTTTATTTATTTATTTATTTTTAAGATTTTATTTATTTGACAGACAGAGCTCACAAGTAGGCAGAGGTAGGCAGTGAGAGAGAGGAGGAAGCAGGCTCCCCGCCAAGCAGAGAGCCCGACGCGGAGCTTGATCCCAGGAACCTGAGATCATGACCTGAGCCAAAGGCAGAGGCTTAACCCACTGAGCCACCCAGGCGCCCCTAATGGGTTTTATTATTCATTTTTCTAATTTCTTAAAGTGAGCATTAAAAATTCCTTTGTTTTTAGATTCTCTTCTATAATAACAACGTTATCTAAGGTTTTTAATTTCCTGCTAAGTATAATTTTTGCTGTGTGTCTCATATGTTTGGTATTAAATATTCTCCTTTACTTTGATTTCTTTTTTTTTTTTAAAGATTTTATTTATTTATTTGACAGACAGAGATCACAAGTAGACAGAGAAGCAGGCAGAGAGAGAGAGGGAAGCAGGCTCCCCGCTGAGCAGAGAGCCCGATGCGGGACTCGATCCCAGGACCCTGAGATCATGACCTGAGCCGAAGGCAGCGGCTTAACCCACTGAGCCACCCAGGCGCTCCCTTTACTTTGATTTCTTAACAGTCTTGATTTCATCTCTGATCTCAGAGTTATCTACAAGTGTATTTCTTAAATTCCAAGGAGTTAAGAATGTTATAGTCCTTTTATTCATTCTAATTTTATTGGATTAAAATCAGATGATGTTGTCCCTAAAATTTCCATTTTTTTCTATTTGTTAATGTTTTCTTTGTGGCCAAGGGCATAATTAATTTTTGTAAATGTTTGACAGACTTAAGAGAAAAACATATCCCTATTAACTGACACAAATTTTTCTACATATCTTTTAAATGAATTTGTTGATTGTACAACTCAAATATTATATAACCTCACATAGTTTTGATTTTGAAAAATGTTTATTAAAACCTTCTTCTGTATTTGGATTTTTATATAGTGGGGAAAAAGCATATGTTCAGGAAAAAGTATCAAAGACAAAATACATGGCAAGGAAAGAGAAAAAAATAAAAATTTACCTTATAAAAGTCTATATTAGCAAAAAACCCTCTAATTTCTTTGTCTTTAAGAAGGCTCTATGCTGGAGTCCCAACACAAGGCTTGAACTCATAACCCTGAGATCAAGACCTCAGCTGAGATCAAGAGTCAGATGTTAGAGTTGAATCCAGGTGTCCCCCGCAAAAACAATTTTTATGCTAACCACAATGCACTTACTATAGAAAAACTTCCTGCAAGAAAATATGCTTCCTTAGATTATTTTTCTATTTTTGAATAAACACTTGTTTTGATGCTTTTATACTTTAATAAACAAGTATAATACATCTTAACTGAGATAACTATTTTGCCAAGAAACTGCACTTACTTTGGCTGGGAGATTGCTCTGTCGAGGTTTCTGTATCAAAATGTGGACCTGAAGAAGTATAAAGAACTCCTTTAATGTAATTTTCCCATCTTTCAGTTTCTGAGGAAAGAAAAAAGTTTGCACAATATTCAAGGTGAGGTCATTTTGATTATAACCAGCCCATTTTGCTTCTAAATAGTGTATAGTATTTTGCATACGTTAGTGGAAATATCCAAATATTTGTAAGTTATACATGAACAGATTTTATTTAGTATTATTTCTTAAGGTTATTCAGTGACAACAGAATTGGGAACAAACAACAAAACACAGGTCTTCTAATTGTGGTTTCTACTCCCTATAATCAATCATCATGCTGGGTCCTTAACAAAAAAGCTAATTTTCTGTATAGTTGAATATTTCATAATTTTTAAAAATTCTTTAAAAGATTTTATTTATTTATTTGACAGAGATCACAAGTACTTGCAGAGGCAGTCAGAGACAGAGGGGGTAAGCAGGCTCCCCACTGAGCAGAGAGCCCAATGCAGGGCTCGATCCCAGGACCCTGAGATCATGACCCAAGCTGAAGGCAGGGGCTCAACCCACTGAGCCACCCAGGCGCCCCGAATATTTCATAATTTTAAAAAAATTTAAAAATTGAAAACAAACAACAATAAAAAATTGGAAAACAAAACAGGGACTATAGTTGCATTAGAAATGAGAAATAGTTTAACATACCTCCTTCAAGCTCTCTTCACAAATAGTGTCTCTGAGAAACTGTGATTCCATTTGACTATTGTGCTGTGCTAGAAGTAAAGCAAATCCAGGTGATAAGTCAAAATTAAAGTGTAAGCTTAATTTTAATTTTCATTCAGATTTATGTGTGGTTCATGTTCTTAAAGTTATCGACTAGGATCTTTTTGGGAAGAGTCATTTATAGGGCAAAGTATACTATTGTTTTAAGATCCCATCCAATATTTTTCCACTAATTATAAGCTTGTTTTAAAAGATTTTGCTTACTTATTTGACAGAGAGTGAGAGAGAGAGCGCACAAGCAGAAGTGGCAGGCTCCCAGCCAAGCAGGGAGCCCAACGCAGGACTCAATCCCAGGATCCCAGCATCATGACCCGAGCTGAAGGCAGATGCTTCACCAACTGAGCCACCCACGCACCCCTAATTATAAGCTTCTTAAGAAAATTACCCTTTATGGTCTATCACTTCTCAATTTATTAAAATAACTAAACATTAAAAATAAACTAAAATTATTTTACTCATCAACTATGTATAACTCCCAAAAAGCTTAAATAAATTTCAAATATCTTCTGAATTGAAATACATTTATTATTGTCAATTAAGCAGATGACTTCTATTATTTAGTCTTCATGAAGATCTTACTGCTGAAGTCGAGAGAGGTCCCATCGGCCTTGATTGAATCAAGAGAACTGCTGCAACTAGATGGTGTCCTGCTCAGGCTTTTTATCAAAACACTGTTAGCATTTTTATCTATATCCCCTTCAGCATGGTGATCAAAAACCTGAAATTATCAGTTAAGGAACATCATCAGCCTAAAGTTATGACTCTCTACACTTATAATAATTGTTTGTTGAACACTAACAAGGACTACTTCATAAAATTTATCTACAATCATATGAAATATCTTAGTAACAAATTAGAATAAGTAATAAGCAATTTATCAGGCCTTTAGAGTTCAAAGTAATTTTATTTTAATTTTTTTAAAGTTTATTTTTCTTAGTAATCTCTACACCTAACATGGGGCTCAAATTCACAACCCTGAGATCAAGAGTCACATACTCCTCTGACTGAGCTAAACAGGTGCCCCTAGAGTTCAAAGTAATTTTATTTAAGAATCTATAGAAACAGGGTGCCTGGGTGGCTCAGTGGGTTAAGCCTCCGCCTTTGGCTCAGGTCATGATCTCAGGGTCCTGGGATTGAGTCCAGTATCGGGCTCTCTGCTCAGCGGGGAGCCTGCTTCCTCCTCTCTCTTTCTCTGCCTGCCTCTCTGACTACTTGTGATCTCTCTCTGTCAAATAAAAAAATAAAAAATAAATAAAAAATAAAAAAAGAATCTATAGAAATATATAGAAATCAGCTTGTACATTATACTGTATAAGCAAATTGTTTCTCAGATGTGTCTAAGTTAAAGCCAGATCCTATGAGTTGCCAAACGTTGACCTATTCCATTATTCAACTACTAGTCACTAGGGTCACGACTACCACATTGAAATAAACTAGCATAGAATATTGGCTATTCATAGTGACTCTGGCTACAGCAACAAAGAAACTTATTTCCAGGTTTTAGACTTTTTCCCCAGGTGACTAAGACTCCTTTGGCTGATGTCAAATAAGTGATGTGGTCCTGCTTTTATCATTTTAACCATGACTTTACAGCCTTAAATGCCATTTTCATCTACCTACTTACATATGTTTTTGAGGACAATATAACCTTTGTCTAAATGTTAGAATGTAATCTCCATGAAAACAGATTTTTTTTCCCTCTAAATTCCTGGTGATGTAGTCCAAGCACCTAAACAGTACTTAGGACACAGGAGATATTCAATATCTACTGAACAAAATAATACTAATTTTCATATAATCCATTCAGTTATAAATTTTCTATCACTGGTACTACATTCTCAAAGCTTCACAGAGGAACCATTTCCTCAGGACCTCATATTACAGAACTAATGAAATATTTTTCTAAGCTTATTCACATATTAAATTTTGTTTTCTATGAAGTTCTGATACTTTTTAAAAAAAGATTTTATTTATTTATTTTTGAGAGAGAGGGCATAAGCAGTAGGGAGAGGCAGAGGGAGAAGCAGACTCCCTGCTCAGCAGGGAGCCTGACATGGGGCTTGATCCTAGGATCATGACCTGAGCTGAAGGCAGCCACTTAACTGAGCCACCCGGGTGCCGCCTTCTGATACTTTCTAATCTTCATTTCTCCATCTATAAAACTCAGTTTGAATGACAGGTTTTATTCTCTCCAAGTTATTCAAATGAATGTTCCCTCAACCTCTAAAACAATCTATAACCTCTTTTCATAAATTCAAATTCTCACTTCTTCACCTTGAGATACTGGGCTTGACCTAGGCATTCTCTCAACCACTAAAGAAATGAACTCTCAGCTTTTACATATCCTCATAAGCCAAGAAAATTCAGATGAGCTTTTCTTCATGCAGTTTGTCTAACAAAAAGGCTTTTTTTACCCTTCAGATATTTAGACTGAATTTAACTTTTCAAACTACATATACCCTGCTGAGAGTTTCTCCTAATGCAAAACCACAATGACAGATTGCACAATTACATTAATTTTTGTACTACTTCCAATTTCATTTTTTGTGATTTAAGTCTAGCTGTTAGTCAAATAATCCCTTAACATTCTAAATAGGAATATTTCCCTAGCTCTATAATTGGAAATAATCAATTCCTGCTCATTCAAGACTAAAATTAAAATTCAACACTCATAACTTAAAAACACATTCCTTAGTTCAAGACAGAGCTTACCTCCTGATCTTGTGCAGTATAACTAAACCTAATCTCACTTTTCCTGATTTTTTTCTCATTCTGCATATCATCCTCTTCTTGTATCCAGGTTCTTTTTTGGCTATTGCAGATTTCTCTTATTTTATTTTCAGATGGTGAAACCTCTTTTTGATATGTCTCAATCGAAGACTTTTCCTCAGTTTCTATGGTAATAGAATCTGAGGAATTAATCTCACCAGGATATGCAGGAAGGTTTTCTTCATTTATATATTGAGATGGACTTAAGGTCAGTTTAGCTGCACCAAATTCAATGCTTGACTCCTTACTGAAGACTGGTTGAGTTTCTAAGTGATTTAAATCAGTTGCGTCTGCTTGAAACTGCTTCAGGTCATTAATACCAGTGACACTACAATTTCTCTTGTTTGGCAATCTGGGCAAAAATATTCCCAGGGAACATCGCCTCACTTTATCTTTTACAACTGTCGTGAGTGGTACAGAGTTAGTTTCAGTTCCATTATGAGAAATTTTACTTTCTTCATCTCTATCATCTTCAACATTGCTGGGCATTGTGTTAATACTATGTATTTCTGTAGCTTGCACTATACTCATATGATTGTGTGCCTTATTTGTTAACCCAAGTAATTGTTCTGGGGAAGGTGGTACATGAGGAGTTTGGAAATTTAAAAATTCTTCAGGTTTTCCATTCAAATTATTCAGATTAGATCTGACACTACTAAAACTTGCAGTATTAGATGCAATTGCAGGATCCAATGCTTCTCTAGAATTAGCATGAGTTTGAATAACTTGCTTAGGCAAGTCTGAATTACTGTGGAAATCTGTATTACATTTAGCTGCCTGAATATTCTTCCTCGGCTCTTTTTTACAGGGTATAGTAAACTGTTGGTCATTATTGAGCATTTTGGACTCATTTTCACATGTAGGTACAGAGGAATTTTCTGTGACAATATTTAAATTCTTATTTCCAGCATGAGATGATATCATTTCATCTTTATTCACAATTATCTGTCTTTGTTGAGGTAATAGAGGTAGCTGGCTTGAGAGATGAGGCTGAGAAGTAACACAAACATCATCAACAAAGGTCATCTTTAAATTATGTTCTGGCATATCAACAAAGCCCTCCATTTGATCTTCTGGGAGTTTAAAAGATACTCGTTTTGAATTAGGTTTAGTTATCTCCCCCAGATCTTGACTAGGTAGTAAAGTCTGATTAGCTATTAAATTTGGGGGCTCCTTAATCAGATCTTGATCTTTGAGCACTGTTTTAACACAGTCTGGCTGTCCTTTGATAGTGGTTCGAGTCACTTTTTCCTTTTCTAACAAAGAACAAGAAGCAGAGAGAGGTAGTCCCTTAGATTTCAAGTAATATTCATTGGCTAAATTGTTTACATAAGTAAGGTCATTTTGCACTGGACAATTACTGGTCTTCTCATCTTTATCACCTAAGGTCATGGCATTCCCCTCCAAATTATCAAAACAGGAAATAGCATTTTGTAAATGGGAATAATTATCACTGGATCCACACATAGCAGTTGCATGACTATTTGTAAAATCCTTATTTCTTTTTTCTGTACTATTTAACTGACAGCTTCCAATTTTGGCTTTTTCCAGTGTACAGGCCTGGTCTACAACACTCCCCATGACCTCTTCATCCACAGTGCTTTTGAATTTGATAATTTCTAACTCACTTTGACCCCCAGACAATGTATTAGTAGGAACAGAAGGTATCACATGATGCTTTTGCTTAGTGTAAAGAACAATTTTGTTTTCTACCGCCAGTGCTTGTTTTTCAATGTTTTCTTGAACAGAGCTACCATCATTATGAAAAGAAATACCCAAGATTTTTCCATTAGCTATTCCAAATTTAGGGTACTCTTGAAGAACTTTCTCCGTGTCTTGACAATCAATGAAAACAGTATGGGACTTGGTGACATCCAGATCACTGTGATTATCTACAAACATTACAGTTTTTTCTATCGGCCTGGTAGTTATTTTAACTGGTGAGACAGTTTTACATTCTAAGGCAGTTGTGTGACTTCTAGTCATCTCCATGTCATCCTGCCCACATGTATACAAAACAGTTTTAGAATCTCCTGCCAAAGGTACCAAATGGGAATTCTCTCTATCTTCCAGGGCAGTTTTGTTTATTTCTACTGTATAGCTATGGGTGATATCCATATCATTTTTATCATTTTTAGAAAATGCAGCAGTCTTGTTATTTTTTAGTCTAAGGCTCTTCCTTCTCTGACTTTTGCCTGCTATAGTTTCATTCAGAAATTCAGGCTTCTGTACATCTTCATTATTTTCCCAAAAGCTTGATTTAGACACTTCCATATGATCACCAGCTATAAATCCTACAGCTTTCTCTACAGGACCATTGTTAGACCATCCCCTTGCTAGTGTTAGCTCATTGACTTTTGCTGCTGAATGGTCACTTTCACCATTCTCTGGAAAGGAAACATTCTCCTCAGTAGAAGCAGGTGACACTTTTGGCTTTTCTAGGCTATTCCTTTTGGATACTTCAAAGTCAAGTCTGTCTGTAAGCACAGTCCTCTCCTTTGCTTGGTAGTCAATGAAAACAGTGTGGGACTTTGTCATTTCCAGCTCATTGTAATTATCTATAAACATTACAGTTTTTTCTATAGGCCTAGTGGTTATTTTATCTGGTGAGCCAGTTTTACATTCTAAGGCAGTTGTGTGACTTTTAGTGACTTCCATGTCATCTTGCCCACATGTATACAAAACAGTTTTAGAAGTTTCTGTCAAATGGGAATCTTGTTCATATAATAAAGCTTTATGATTTATTTCCACTGTATAACTCTTGGTGATATCCATATCATTCTCATCACCTTCTGAAAATACAATAGTCTTATTAACTTTTTGCCTGCCAACACTTTTTCTTCCATAAATTTTGACATCTTGATTTTCATTCAGAAATCCAAGTTTTTGAATGCTTTTGTCTTCTAAAATGTCTATATTATCATTAGAAACAAATACTCCAGTTTTTTCTGTAGGACTTTTATTACATTTTTCAACATTTACAGCTATCTTTCTGTCTACTGTTGTTAGCTGGCAGTTAGTATTTTCTAAATTAGTCTTACCCAATTCTTGTACTTCAGAAGGACCAAATCCAATGACAATAGTGTGACTCTTGGTTAGATCCATATTTTGTTCCTCCTCTGAACAAATAATTGTCTTGTTATGGGAACAGTCAGGTGTGGGATTGCCTACACTTTTCCTCAGTGGCTCAGGCAGTTTAGAATTCTGGCCCGATACAGATTTCACTGTGTAACTGTTAACAGCAATATTGTGATTTTTCACGGTAGACTGTTCTTCTAATGAAAATAGTGGCTCTGTGGTAGGAAACAAAGATGCCTCACATGAAACTATATTTCTATTATTTCCCAGTTCTATTTGTTTCTCAAGATTTCTGTGGCTTGTTGCTATGTCTTGATTAATATCAGCTGACTGAGGAGAATCTTTACCAAGATAGGGTGCAGTCTTTAAAACTTGATCTTTTTCTTTACTCCAGGTGTCAGTTGGAATGTTTTTAGATATTATGTCTGGCTGTTGGGATGGTTCAATATGACTTTTGGTCATTTCTTTCCATTCATCTGAAGGGCTTTTGCTGTGAGAGTGAAATTTACTAGTATTCTCAGATATTAGATTGCAAGATACAAGAGGAGATTGACTTCCCAAGTTAGCTGTATGATTTTTAGTCAAATCCATATCTTCACCTGCGAAAATTTCAGTCTTTTTGCCAGTCAATAAAATAGACAAAGAATTTGCCAGGCTCTGCTGTAATCTTCCCTTAGGTACATGAGGAACTGAGCTACAATTTATATTCATTTCCCCATCCTCTGACCTGCTTATGAGATTTTGGAGCATCATTTCTTTTTCAGATATTGGTGTGTCTGCTCTCTGTGTATTTGTGTGATCTTCTTTAAAAATCTGATTATCTATCACAACTGTATGACTCCTGGTAATGTCCATGTTATCCATTCCTGAATAAATAGTTTTCTCTGTGAGAAGAGAGATGGCATCTGGATTGGGATAAGTTTTAGAATAATTACTATCATTCTTCAGCAAATTCTTCACTTCTCTCATACCTGAGAGACACTTGGTCAGTTCCATGGCATCATTACTACTAGAACAGAAAAATGTCTTATAATCTTGAGTAGCTGAGCTGGAACATATAGATCCTGGGATTATGGCCAAAGTGCTGGCATCTTGGTTAGAAGTCTGTGTGACTATGTGAGTTTCTGTAATACGACTTTTGGTAATATGTATTTCACCATTAGGGTTTAAAGAAGGGTCTTGAAAAGCAGCATTTGGTTTATTCTTAAAGACTGTCTTCTTTTCTGGATCTTCAGTTCCATAATCTGTCATAACTTCCATCATGACATTTTGAGTTTGATTTTCTATATTAGATAAATTATCTGCTGAGGGTAAATTCTGTATAGTGTGATTAGTTGTCAAGTCCATAAAATCATTGCCATAAATTGTAATATCATCACCTTTAAATTCCCTTAAGCTGGCCTCAGTGGATGTGGGAACTAAAGTCTGAATATTGGCTGTATGACACTGGGTGAAATTCATCCCATCATCTTGTTCTCTAAAGGTTCTAGTCATATTATTACTATTTTCATCTACCTTAAGAGACACATGCATTTGATGTACAGAAGAGGCCCTATTTGATTCTTTGGGATGAACAGATATCTCAAAATTTTCTTTATCAGGTCCTGTAGGAAAAGCATTAGATTTTCCTGTTTTCAATCTTTTTATGAAGTCATTAAAATTTATTTTCTTTTCTGAAGAAGTGCTTTGATCCATGGAAAAATTTAATTCTTTTTTCATTCTTGAATCCTTAGTATGGAGCTTTAAGTTAGCCAGAAATGATGTAGTATCTATCTTAGTGGACTTTTCACTTGTAGTACAATCTAAAAGGCCTTTGTTAATCATTACGGTGTGACTTCTTGTTAGATCCATCTGGTTTTCATCCGAAAAGATGACTGTTTGGTCATTTGCATGTTTCCTTTCATGGTTGTATTCTGTAATTGAAATCTATAATGAAAGCAAAATATAGGAGATCAGATCAAATGCAACCTTTTAGAAAGGTATTTTATAATATGTACTATATATAGTACTATATAAATAATCCTCAATGATGGTTTCATTATACACTGGTTTGTTTGAAACAGTGGTGTGGTATGTAGCATGTAATTTGTTATTACATTTTTTTTCAAAGTTTGTAAATGCTTTCAGTTTTTTTCAACAAATAAAAGATCAAGGTTAATTATACACCAACTAGAATGACTAAAAATGAAAAAGACTGACAATATCAAATGTAACTATAATGAAAACTCTAATTACTATATTAGATAGGTCATTCTCATTCTAAGTAAAATAGACTTAGAAAGGGCTAAGAGCATGATGGCTAATTTATAGTACACTCTACTCTTGGAAGTTGGGTTCTCTTTGAATCTTAATGCAGTGGCTTTATTTGTAAGGAAACAGTCTAACTCCTTGCTACTCAAAGTATGGTCTGTGACCTAGTGCACTAGTATCAACAGGAGATTGTTAGAAGTATAGAATCTCAGGGCCTCCCCTAGATATACTGAAAAAGAAACCATATTTTAAGAAAATCCTGCATATGCCCATTACAGTTTGACAAGTTCTGATATAATTAATATATTTCCCTATTATTTAAACTGGCAATGATTGAACTGTCCTTAATTTAACTGAAAAGGTAGGAAGTTTTCCAGTCTATGCTGGTCTACTTGAGTAAGTAATTCCTAAATCATGCCACAACTACTAAATTTTTTGTGTGTTAACTATAAGGGAGAATAAAATAAAAGGCATATGCATGAACTCATACCTCTCTCTGTTGCATCTGGGTCTGAATGGGAGCACAAAGCAATGTGTTCATCCCTATTGAAAAAGAGGAAAAAACTACAGTCAATAACAAAAAAAATATATCACCAAGAGCCTGATTTTTCTTTCCTTATATTGTTCATCATTTATGAGTATTTATGAAGTTTATTTTAATAATATCTTTTTTTTAAAGATTTTATTTATTTGAGAGAGAAAGACAGAATGAGAGAGAGAGAGCATGAGAGGAGAGAGGTCAGCAGGAGAAGCAGACTACCTGCTAAGCAGGGAGCCCGATGTGGGACTCGATCCCAGGACTCCAGGATCATGACCTGAGCCCAAGGCAGTTGCTTAACCAACTGAGCCACCCAGGCGCCCTATTTATTGAAGTTTTATCAGTTAATAAGCCCTTCATAAGGACTTAAGTATTAAACTTCATTAAGACTTCTGATTGACCCTTGGGGTACCTGGGTGGCTCAGATGGTTAAATCACCAACTCTTGATTTTGGCTCAGGTCCTAATCTCAGGGTCTTGAGATCAAGCCCTGCACTGGGCTCCACATACTGTGGGGAGTCTGCTTCTCTCCTTCTCCCTCTGCCTTTTACCCCATGTCCTCTCTCTCTCTTAAATATTTTATTTTTTTAAAAAAGACTTTATTTGAGAGAGAGAGAGAGAGAGAGAGCGCACAAGCAAGGGGAGGGGCAGAGGAAGAGGGAGAGAAGCAGTCCCTACTGAGCATGGAGGCTGATGTGGGGCTTGATCACAGATCTTGAGATCATGATCTGAGCCAAAGTCAGACATTTTACCAAGTGAGCCACCCAGGTGCCCCTAAATAAATCTTAAACAACAACAACAACAACTTATAATTGTCCCATTTTAGGGACAGAGAGATCTGTGATTACCGTATTCCCTATGTGACTGAAATATTTTTAGGATGTGGTGATTTTAAAGGGGGAATTTTAAAGGTGGAAAGTTTGGACTACTTTTTTACCCCTTTACTTCTTTATTTTTATTCCCTAGATAGTATAGGTTACATGGTAAAGAGTACCAATTCATGAGACTGAAACGTTAAAGTAAGATTTTGAAGCATCTTTTATTCTATCTTAAAGAATCCAGATGTCACCGTGATGAGATGTGCATTTTATAAAAATAACTCCAGAGAAGGAGGAAAAAAGTAGATTTAAGAGAAGATGAACCAATGAGGAGCTGCTGGAATAATGCAGATACAAACAGGAAGAGAATTTCTGTTTGGGAAAAAGAAAATGAGAAAGAAAATAAAGGATAGACTCAGGATACTTTAGAACTGAAATATAAAGATTTAGGTAATGGATGGACTTTGGAAATAAAGAAGGGACTGAAGATGCTGCAATAAAACAGGAAATACATTTTATAATACTTACTTATTAAGGCAAATCTCTAAAACATTTAAAAAAGTTTTTATTTAAATTCCATTTCTTTAACAGCATAATATTAGTTTCACATGTACAATACAGTGATTCAACACTTCCATATAACACCCAGTGCTCAGCACAAAAATCTTCGGAACATTTTAAAGAGTTAATGACAATCTTGACGAATATGACGAAGTAATTATAGGTCTTTTGTTAAAAATCTTACTTATATAATAAACTTTCATTCATTTATTCAACAAATACTTACTCAGTACCTATTATGTGCCTCAAAACTCAACTCCCTACTACACCACAAAGAACAGACAAAATTTCTGGATTCAGAGTTCCTAGTTCAATTAAAGAGCCAGAAGTAAACACAATGTGATAAATTCTACAAAAGACTGAGAAATAAAAGGGGTATTATAACATTACAGGACAGAATGACTCCTTGGTTTTGTCAGAAAAGGCTCCATTTAAGCCAGTACAACTTGATGATTTGTGGTGCCAGTCTGTGAACTGCTTGTTACCAGTTCATGAAGAAATAAGGAGACCATAGCCAATGTAAATTATGTGATATTTCCTTCATCAAGAAAGCTTTGCTATGAAAAAAATGTCAGATAACTAAACAGTAGCTTACTGCCATAGTTGACTTATATTCTAGCATAAGCTCCTTTTCTGTCATGGATTATAACAGTTTGTGGACTAGCTACTTTGTTTTTGTTTTTGATTTTGTTAAGATTTTATTTTTAAGTAATCTCTACACCCAATGTGGGGCTCAAACTCACAACCCTGAGATCAGGAGTTGCATGCTCCACCAACAGCTCCAGGCACCCTGGACTGGCTACACTGAATAGTACCGAGGTTACGCACGTGAAAAACTAGGTTAGGTGAAAAATGAGAAGATTGATAGGCAATGTGGAGTAGGAAGGACACCTCAGAGAGAAAAAACAGCATTTACAAATGGATACCAAAAAAAAGTCGACATGGGGATCTATAAATACTTCCTCATGGGATAGAATAAGATATCTATAAAGGACAAGAGATAAGGTGGGAGAAGTCAAGTCAAATTTTTAAAGAGCTTTCAAAATCTATGCCAAAGAATGTGGGTTTTATCCTGTAAGGAAAAAAGTGTCATTGAATAATTTTAAGTTGGGAGGTAATATCAGATTTAGAAATATGTAGAATGGATTATAGGGATAAGAAACTAAATATAATAGCCTATGAAAGAATAATGAATAATAAAGATTTGAACTCAAACAGTGGCAGAAGGAATGGAGAGGAGATAAAAGATTTGTAAGATATTTAAGACAAAGAATAGAGAGTAAAGACAAATGGATATGGGGAATGAGAAAAAAGTTCAAAAATGACTTTATTTCTGACTTGAGTGAATGAATGACTGGGAATCCAAAATAAAGAAAACAAGTAGAACAGCAGGTCTGGCAGAAATAATAGTAAGTTTGTGAAATTTCATACTGAAGATTTTGTATAAAGAACAGAGCTATTTACACTTTTTCCATAGTTCTTTTACACATTACTTTGTATGAAATTTGGCTGAAGAGAAAGTTATGTGGTAAGAAAAGTATTCTGGTCATACTCACCAGTAATCTCACAGTAGTTATCTTCTGGATTCTTACTCCTAAAAATTAAAAAGTATTTTAAAAATCTATACCCCAAAGAATTACCAAGAATCACAACATTTGAAAGAGTAGGGAAGGTGAAAGGTCTTCATAGACTAACTGGCAGAAAAATAGGACATCTGTAAAAAGACTCATCTAACTCTGGCAGAAAAAATTACAAGGCAGTTAAAGGACCCTTTTCAGATTGGTCTTAAGGTTTTGTCAATTTCAAGGTACTATAAAAAATGCTTAAAATATGCTTTTTTTAAAAGAACAACCTACAAAGCAATTCATTTTCTAGAGGTTTAGCCTTTAAAAAAAGCAAATAAAAGAAAACAACCCAAATATCCATCATCAAGGAGCTGACTGAATGTTGATGCAAACATTTAACAAGTTATGAAAAACTGAAGTATATCTATATGTAACAACATAGAAAGTGCTATAAGACATTAGGTGTTCTCATTTTTGTCTTGTTAAGAACAAAAACTAAAGATAAATATGCACTTGGATATACATTTAAGTTTCTGCAAAGACATCTAAAATTATCAGGGCTGCTGAATGGCTTAATCGGTTAAGCATCCGACTCGATCTCAGCTCAGGTCTTGATCTCAAGGTTGTTGAGTTTAAGCCCCATGCTGGGCTCTACATTCAGTTGTGGTTAACTGTGAGGAGCCTAAGCTCCTCACAGAATTTTCTGAATCAGTATATAAAAAGAATATTTTTTCCAGCTCAACAGTAGTCCATTACATGGAAAATTTATAATTTATTTAACCAGTCCCTTATTGAGAGATCATTAGGATCTTTTACATCATTTGCTATTTTTTTTAAAGATTTTATTTATTTGACAGAGAGAGAGAGGAGCACAAGCAGGCAAAGCAGCAGGGAGCCCTAAGTGCGACTCAATTCCAGGACCCTGGGATCATACCTGAGCCAAAGGCAGACCCTTAACTGACTGAGCCACTCAGGTGCCCGTACATCCTTTGCTATTACAATTAACACTGCAGTGAATAACCTTATATGTTCATCATTTTAAACATTTATAAGTATCTTGAAATAAATTCCTGGATGTGAAATTACTGATCAAAGGGCATGTGTATTTGAAATTTTGAATGATACTGCCAACAGCCTTCTTCAATTTATATCCACTAGCAATGAGTGACTTTTTACCTATATTCTTTTTTTTTTAAGTTCTATTTATTTATTTGAGAAAAAGATGGAGTGTACAAACAGGGGGAGGGGCAGAAGAAGAGGGAGAAGCAGACCCCCTGTTGAGAGCTGACTATGGAGCTAGATCCCTGGACCCTGTGATCATGACTTGACCTTAAGTCAGAGGCTTAATGGTTTGAACCACCCAGGTGTCCCTTACCTATATTCTTAATTGATTAGATGAAAAACTATATCTCAATAATAACCTAACTTTGTATTTCTCTTATGATGAATGAAAATAAGCATCTTTCCATTTGTTTAAGAGCAATTGGTATTTATTTTTCTTTTTTTTTTTTTTTAAAGATTTTATTTGTTTATTTGACAGAGAGAGATCACAAGTAGGCAGAGAGGGAGGCAGAGAGAGAGAGGAGGAAGCAGGCTCCCCACTGAGCAGAGAGCCCGATATGGAGCTTGATCCCAGGACCCCAGGACCACGACCCGAACCGAAGGCAGAGGCTTTAACCCACTGAGCCACCCAGGCGCCCCACTAATCTACTTCTTGACTATAGCTTTCTTTTCTGGATATTTCATATAAACGGAATTATATAATATGTGGTCTTTTGTACCTGGCTTTTTTTTTTTTTTATACTTAGCATAATGTTTTTCAGACCCAACCTTGTTGTTGCATGTATCAACTATTTATTACTTTTTATTGCTGATAATAATTTTTGTGGGTATATGTCTTATTTATCCATTCACCAGTTGATAAATGTTTGGATTATTTTGCCTTTTTTTTTTTTTTTAAGATTTTATTTATTTTTTTGACAGAAAGAGAGAGACAGCAAGAGTGGGAACAAAAGCAGGGAGAATGGGAGAGGGAGACCCAGGCTCCCTGCTGATCAGGGAACCCAATGAGGGGCTCTATCCCAGGGTCTTGGGATCAAGGCCCACATTGGGCTCCCTGCTCCTAGGCGCCCCGGTATTTATTTTTCTATATATTAATATAATAAGAAAAACTAATGAAAAAAAACTGAAAACTTGGTTTATTGTTTTGTACTAACTTGTATTTAAGGAATTTTTTGTGAAAGTAGAGTGTTTCATCATTGTGTTAAAAGGATAAGCTATATAATGCACACACTTAACCAGAGATAGCTGCATATTAAATTCTGCAAAGAATCTGTTTTCTAAATTAATCCTAAGTATTCCACAAAAGGGTCACTGAAATTTTTTAAAAAGACTATTAATTTAGAAAACATTGCATTTGGGGTGCCTGGGTGGCTTAGTCTGTTAAGCATCTGCCATCAGCTCAGGTCATGATCTCAGGGTCCTGGGACTGAGCCCAGTGTTGGGCTCTCTGCTCAGTGTGGGGAGCCTACTCTCCCCCCGCCACTGCAACCCATGCTTGTGCTCTCTCTTTCTCTCTCAAATGAATAAATAAAATATTTTTAAAATAAATTAAACAACAACAACAACAAAAAAAAAACACTGCATTTGGAGCGCCTGGGTGGCTCAGTGGGTTGGGCCTCTGCTCGGGTCATGATCTCAGGGTGATCTCTGTCAAAAAACAAAATCTTTAAAAAAAACAACAACAACAACACTGCATTTGATAGGAATAAAGAGCTTTTAAAATATAATTCGAATCACATTTTCTTTACTTACTGTATAAACAGAACATTTTCTCCCACTTCTGTTTCTAAAAATAAAATAAAAAGTAAGTTTGTTCAAGGATATACTGATAAGGCATTAGAAAAATTGCATAAGAACATTAACAACAACAAACAAAAAAACATTAACAACATTTAAAAAAAAGAAAATTACTAACTATCCACCTTACTTCCTGTCCCCATAGCTCAAGCTATACTTTTTACGCAATAAGACAGTTTTACCTGTTACCTGGTTAAATAGTTACAGTAAAACTTAACAGAAAACAGATTTGGCAGGGATAGCAATAACATATTTACCTGCAATTTCTGACTTTCTTACTATTTTCATATGAGATTCTGTCTGGAATACTCTAGAAAAGAAAATAAAGATTACTGAAAATCTGCAATTAAAAAAAAAAGATTTTATTTATTTATTTGGGATGGGGGCACAAGCAGTGGCAGGGCTGGTAGCTGGGGGGAAGAGGAGAGGGAAAGGGACAAGCAGATTCTCTGCTGAGCATGGAGCCCAATATGGCTTGAGGCTGGGCTCAATCTCAGGCTCTGAGATCACAACCTGAGCCGAAACCAAGAATCTGACACTTAACCCACTGAGCCACCCAGGTGCCCCTGAAAATCTGCTATTTTTAATTAGAACCCTATGGTGTTAATTTATAGTGTGTTTTGAGATAAAGATAACTGATTTCAGCTTCCTCTTTGCTACATCATGTACTATTAATATTTCAAATGCCAAAATTCATTTACATTAAAATCTGTTTTTTATGAACTCTGACAAAAATCATTTTATCCCTCTCAAAAACCTAAAATATTCACTCTATTCAACAAAACGTTTCTTAAGCACTCATTATACACATGATGCTATATACTAGAGTCTGATACATGATCCTTGATCTCAACGAGTTTTCACTGTATGTAGAGAGCTGAAATAATAATTATAAACATTATTTCACTGACTTTGGTTATTAACAGTTCAGATAAGGTGGCACGGAGTCCAGAGGAAAGGATCTCTTTTGATTGGGATGATTAAGCTTTTGGGGAAGCAGCATTTGATATCTGCCTTGAAGAATCTGGCTAGTTCATTTTTGTTCTAATATTAAGTATCATTCATTATTGAGGACCTATTCTTTTTTTTTTTTTAAGATTTTATTTATTTATTTGACAGAGAGAGATCACAAGTAGGCAGAGAGGCAGGCAGAGAGAGAGAGGGGGAAGCAGGCTCCCTGCTGAGCAGAGAGCCTGATGCGGGGCTCGATCCCAGGACTCTGAGATCATGACCTGAGCCGAAGGCAGAGGCTCAACCCACTGAGCCACCCAGGCGCCCCCTGAGAAGCTATTCTTAATAAGAAAGAAATTTTAGTTCAATTACAGGGGTGCCTGCATGGCTCAGTCAGTTAAGCATCTGCCTTTGGCTCAGGTCATGATGCACGGTTCTGGGATCCATCTCCACATCAGGCTCCCTGCGAAGCAGGGAGCCTGGTTCTCCCTCTCCCTCTGACACTTTCTGCCCTGCTCATGCTCTCTCTCTCTTTCAGATAAATAAATAAAATCTTTAAAAAAAGAAAAAAAGAAAAAGAAGAAAACTTAGTTTCAGTTATAAAAAAGCAGTGGACATTTGCATACATACTGTGTGACAAGCACTCTGTTCTTTATATACATTTTTAATGATTATAACAATTATTGGGGTGCCTGGGTGGCTCAGTGGGTTAAAGCCTCTGCCTTCAGCTCAGGTCATGATCCCAGAGTCCTGGGATCAAGCCCCGCTTCGGGTTCTCTGCTCAGCATAGAGTCTGCTTCCTCCTCTCTCTGCCTGCTTGTGATCTCTGTCAAATAAATAAAATCTTTTAAAAAAGAATGATTATAACAATTATCATGTTATTTTGCAGATATAGATATTGAAGGTCGTAAAGGTTAAGTAACTCCCAGGGTCATATACCCAACAAGTGCAAAGCCAAAATGCAAACCTAAATCTGTCTCATTTCAAAACCTGAGTTTATAACTACAAACCAATACTTGAAACAACTTTTCTTCAACTGAGTTACAATAGAATAGAAAGCTTTTTATTCAATATGAGCAGTATCAGTAGTTGGTCCTTTAATTAAAAAAAAACTTAAAATGAAGAATCTTATCTGAACCCAACACAGTTTAAATATTAAAAAAAATTAAAACACATAGTGGATTTTAATTTGCACATTTTTGTTTTTTTTTTAATTTGCAAATTTTTGAATGTCAATCTGAAGTCTTTACTTTTGAGAGGATCTACTGATACAATTTTGTGTATTTATAAGGTGGAATAAACAAAGAAACTTTTTTTAAAGATTTTATTATTTGACAGAGAGAGAGAGAGAGCGCACAAGTGAGGGGAGTGGCAGGCAGAGGAAGCAAGGAGCCTGACGTAGGGCTGGATACCAGGACCCTGGTATCACAACCTGAGCTGAAGGCAGATGCTTAACCAACTGAGCCACACAGGAGTCCCAACAAAGAAACTTTCAAGTAATATGAACAAAGAATCCTTCTAGATTTTCATGAAAGATTTCCCTGTGGTTGTCTCAGCCATACCAAATTTGAAAGAATTTTTAAAAATAAACTCACCTTTATCAAGTTTTCCCTAGCTGTTCCTTACAATGTTCACAGAAATAACTTTGTCTTTGAACTAATTTTCATCAGTTTATGTAATATTAAATTAAATTATGCAATTACAACAACTTCAACTAGATAAACAAGACAAATACTTCTTGGTAAGCCTATCAATCGATTCTCAGGATCTGAAGTTTATGGACAGGAAAGAGCATTCTTTTTGCTGTAGATATCAGTATATTTTACAAGGGTAATGGAAAATATAGGTTAATTCTAACAATTCAGTGAGGTGGGAATTATTAAGAGAGTTTTACTATGCTTGTTTCTACATCTAGAATCCTATAGTTCTTTTTCAATTAACCTATTTAACAAAGATAATCTTTTGAAACACTATTCATTGTTTAATGACACTATTTGTGATAATATTATAGTGTTAAATATAATACAACAGTGTTAAATATAATAGTGTTAGATTGACACTATTTGTGATAATATATACTGTCTTATTTTGGCCATGCAGTAACACTATGAGATATGTAAGGACTATTATTTTCATCCTAAAAAAAGGAGGAAATTGATGCTCTGTTAAATGACTTGAACTAGGGACTATTTAGTAGTAAGTTAGAATTGTTCCAGTTTTTTTTCGTTTTGAACCTGAAATTCCTTTCAACACCCCAGAGCCATTTTAAAGGAAAGTAAGTATAATGAATAGATGATATCCAAGGAAAGAAAAGTGTGGACTAAATTTAGTAGTATTTGGGAAAGTTTATCAGAATAAGTGGAAAAACCAGTAGACTAGGAATCAGGAGACCTATTTTACAATTGTGGTTCTGTCACTACTTACATTACCTTGGGAAAGTCATATCATGTCCCTGGCTTTAATTTTCTCACTAAAACATAGAGTCTGGACTATACTTACTTATTTAGTAGGCTCCAGGCATGGAGCCCAATATGGGGCTTGAACTCACAATACAAGACTGAGATCAAGACATGAGCCAAGATCAAGAGTCAGATACTTAACCAATTGAGCCACACAGGTGATCCTACTTATTTATTTTTTAAATATATCATTATTATTATTATTATTATTTTTAAAGAATTTACTTGTTTATTTGAGAGAGAAAATGAGTGGGGGTGGGGGGGGATGCAGAGGGACAAGAAGACTCCTGGCTGAGCATGGAGCCTACAGCAGGTTCACACAGGGTTGGATCCCAGGACTGCAAGATCATGACCTTCGCCGAAGTCACATGCTTAACCAATTGAGCCACCCAGGTGTCCCATAATTTATTATTATTATTTTTAAGTAAACTCTACCTCCAACATGGAGCTTGAACTTATGACCCTGAGATCAAGATCAAGTCGCATACTCTACCAACTGAGCCAGCGAAGCACCCCAGTGTACTTCTCATTGTAACATTCCATCATCAAAAACACAAATTTGAGTAGAAAATGCTATTTTCTCATATATGTATATATATGAGAAATGGATAAACAGGATAAGAATCCTATGCCAGTTACTCCTATTGTTTCTAAAGTTCCCTGTTGACTTCCAGAAATGTTTATTAGCCAAGCTCATTATAAAACAAACCAAATAAACAGAATAAACAGCAAATCTTAAAAAAAAAAAAAAAAAAAAAAAAGGAAAACAGGAAGAGAAGCATTATAATAACAATCAGACAGGGCACTTGGGTGGCTCAGTTAGTTAGGCCACTGCCTTCGGCTCAGGTCATGGTCCTGGAGTCCTGGGATCAAGTCCCGCATTGGGCTCCCAGCTTGGGGGGGTAGTCTACTTCTCCCTCTGACCTTCTCTCCTTTCATGCTCTCTCTCACTCTCTCTCTCAAATAAATAAATAAAATCTTTAAAAATAAATAACAATCAGGGGCGCCTGGGTGGCTCAGTGGGTTAAAGCCTCTGCCTTCGGCTCAGGTCATGATCCCAGGGTCCTGAGATTGAGCCCCGCATCGGGCTCTCTGCTCAGCAGGGAGCCTGCTTCCTCCTCTCTCTCTGCCTGCCTCTCTGCCTGCTTGTGATCTCTGTCTGTCAAATGAATAAATAAAATCTTAAAAAAAAAAAATCAGACAGACCTAGAAAATACAGTCTAATCCTACAAATAATAAGGGTAATGAGAGGAAAAATACCAACAATGTGAAAAATACAAGAATATAATGATTAAGAATAGTCTGATGAGAAATAGTCCAAAGTCTGAGCCCTACCTCTTAAAAAGTATGGGAACTTGAGCAAGCTACTTAAACTAAGCCTCAGTTTCCTTATTCATAAAATGAGATATGACTGTTAGGATTCAATGAGCAATGAATGCATATAGTAGCATACCTAACATTGTAAATATTCAATAATATTAGCTATTAATAAAAAATCAAATTTTGACATATATAAGCCTACTTTCAATGATTTGACACAGGTGATCTTATATTAAAATGATCATTCCAATATGATAACTTCAGGGGCACCTTCCTGGCTCAACTGGTAACATGTGATTCTTGATCTCAGGGTCATGAGTTCAAACCCCACATTGGGTGAAGACATTACTTAAAAATAAATACACTAGGGATGCCTGGGTGGCTCAGTCTGTTGAGCCGCTGCCTTCGGCTCAGGTCATGATCCCAGGGTCCTGGGATCGAGTCCCGCATCGGGCTCCTTGCTCGGTAGGGAGCCTGCTTCTCTCTACACCTCTGCCTGCTTGTGTGCTCTCTCTCAATCCTTCTCTGACAAATTAATAAAATCTTTAAAAAATAAATAAATAAATAAATAAATACACTA